ACGTAAGACAAAATTTTATATAAGACGAATAATCATACGGTATCCATCCTCTATATGTTAACCTCCTATGTCTGAAGTTAGTGAGCAATGACATCAAACTCATAAATGTCCATGCTGTCGCAATCATAATCGTGTAGCGCAAAGTATTGTTTCTAGAAAGCGACTGAAGAGATTGTTACATCTATGTTATTTTTAATACACATCTATATGAAGTGTTTAGAATGACTTCATATTCATTCTTTATCACGAAATATTAATTATTTTGTAATAGTAATATTGGTAATTAGGCTTTATTTTAGTACATAATTAATTAAGATATATTTTTCGTTATTAAACTATTCATAAATATAAATGTTTATTTTTAATATCTTAAATTTTAATTAAAAAAATAAATTAAATTCTACATAGATATGATCTAACATAAAATTTTTTTAAATATTACATATTTAATATTAAATAAAAAAATATTTAGATTAATATATTTGATAAAAGCTTAAAATTTATCCTTAAAATATATTTACCGTATTATTTTATCATATTGTCGTCGAATTTTTATTTCACCCAAATCTAACGGTTTAAATGGTTCTTCAGTAAGATAATTAATTAATGCAACAATGTTTTTGTAACTTAATGAGGCGACATAAATCTTATAACACGAAGCTGACATATTTAACATCATATTCAAATTATTAGTGAAGTCATTAGGATTATCAACATTCATAACAATATCCATTATTTGCGATAATGTGAAAGTGCACATCATGCTAATTACGTACAATCTGTAGATGTCGTAAATTATTCGTTTAAACAAAGACGTCCACGATGGCGGTCGGAAGCATCCAGTGATCACACAAATTGTACGTGTTAATTTCAGAATGTGCATTATAAATTCTTATTTGTCATTAAAAGAAAGATACGTATATCTGTATCCGATTACAACATGCTTTACCAATTATAGTACTGACTAAATAACTATAGAATTTCTTTAGCAATTTTAATATTGGTTTCAAAATAATAATCTAACCAATTACACTACAGCATAAAAAGAAGTTTATAATTTGAAGAGAGTGTATTAAGAAATGCCTAAACCTGGACACAATTCTTTGATAAACAATACATTTGCTAACAATAGTTCTCCTTTCTTCTATACATTTAATTCTTAGCAACTTCCTATAAATCCGTATCTATACATGTTTGGATATATCTAATCCGGCATTTTCTTTTCCTTATATCTCAGGTTGTAATGCAATGCGTCGATTTCAATTTTTTTAAGTTGATTATTTATAGACTGAAAAGAAAAAAATTTTAGACAAAAAAGTCTAAAAACTCGTAAAGATATTTTTCAATTAGTAAAAAAAAGGATCAAATGAAAACGGAATTTCTCCAAAATTTTATAATTTAATAAAAAAATTAACGAAAAAATTTTAACGGTGATAAATTAATATCTATAAATAAGTTAAATTTTCAGAAATATATATCACAAACGATTTTTCGATCCGTTATAAAAACGATATTTAAAAAAAAGAAAGTAGAAATGAGTAACCTTTCAGTTTTATCATATCTGTCACAACTAATATACCCGATAATCTGTAAATTTTGATAGAAATGAGAAAAAATTCTCCTTCTGTAGTAAATATTAATAATTTGCAATAATATTTTAGTATTATAATTAAATTCCGTTCTCTGACATTAAAAGTACAATATAATTAACTTAAATCATTTTTTATGATGTACATTCATGATGCAAATAACAAACAATCCAATTAATCACTTTTACTTATATTTTAAATTTTTGCAAATTTAGATTTCCTGACAATTAATCCACACTGAATTAATATAATCCGGGTACTTACTCCACAACCTTCGCAAATTCGTATATAACTAATACCGCGTCAGACCGCCTAGCAAAGGAACTAAAGAAAGAGTTTACAATTTTTTTTTCTTTCCAAGCCTCAGCGTCACCGCACAAAGCGCATTCAAATGTCTATACTATGAAAATCTGCCCAGGCAACGATAACCCAGAATTCAGAAAGGAGAGTTCTTTATTAAAGATTGATATCTATATCTTCGTAATATATGTAATATAAAGTTTGTCAAGAGTAATATCAAACTTGTCGTAATTGTCTGTTGTGGAATACTTATGCAAGTTAATAGAATAACGTCTATATACAATTTTTATCGTAGAAAATAAAATATTTTTATTCTTACATTTATAGAAACAGAGTAAAGCAGTAATATACAGAAAACATGGGATAATTATAAGTATAACCCTATTCTCTATAATGTTCATCAATATGATACGAGATATAAGTCTTCCTAATATCTTGTTATATATTATTCATAGATACACAAAGTATTTTATTTATTATCGCTTGCGTTTAAAATGTGATACATCATCTAGTATTGACATTTACTCGCGCAATGTAATCAGACGACGAAGTCATACATTTAAGGAACACATTTGTGAAACTTTATATTGTCAGGAAAGAAAAAATTGTATTGTAAAAATTTATTGTAGCGATTTGAAATGCACTTTGTGTGCTCTTTTGATATATGTGTTGTCTGTGTTGTTGTGTGATACAGTCAGTCACGGATCAGCTGAAGAGATATGAACTCTGCAATATCTATGTAGCTCGTGATACTGTTAGCGAATTTTCCTTTCGAATATGTAGCATCATTATCGTATTAACAAATATAGACTAATATTTTCCATGAATTGACGTTTTTGTGAAAATTCCATTTTTATAATAATATAAGTTGTTGGTGAGAGTTTAGATGTATGAAATCTTGATACATTATTGTACTCGTCCATTATAAAATATTTTATTTATTGTCATTATATATATCTGCGACATCTTTCTTTCGTTCCCATAGACCGTTCCATGTCTTCTTTTCAGTATCTGTATGCATTCTTTATTAAGTTTGAACACAGAAAGCAACATATTTAAGCCTCAATTTATTTATTTTTATAGCATAACACGTGAAACATCGAATATTTCGATTAGATAATAATCGCAGTAATTTATTTCCTATAATCATTTCTGTAGGATTTCTTAACTTTACAATATATGTCTTTTAAACAAGTTTGTAAAAATTCTGTAGAACAAAATTCAATAAAATTTCAATCGGTAATACATAATAACGATCGATATTTACAATACTGATAATTTTAAAATTTCTATAAATATCATCTATAGATGACATTTTTTCCGCTTATAGGCCCCTATTCAAGAGATATTCAGAAAAATAATGTTTCTTTCCTGTCCGCTAACAGATCATTGATATATATATATCAATGATCTGTTAGCGGACAGGAAAGAAACATTATTTTTCTGAATATCTCTTGAATAGGGGCCTATAAGCGGAAAAAATGTCATCTATAGATGATATTTATAGAAATTTTAAAATTATCAGTATTGTAAATATCGATCGTTATTATGTATTACCGATTTTGATCTGTTAGCGGACAGGAAAGAAACATTATTTTTCTATATATATATATATATATATAATGTCGGTCTCCACTTATCTTTAATTTCAATAAAGGTGAAAGTTATCTATCTAAATATTCTTTCAGTTTTTTTATTACTTTATTACTCAGTATCGTCTCATGCTAGTGTCAATTGTATTTTGTTCAATCTGCTCCTCGCATTGATTTTCACATTTGCATTTTATAGAAAATCTACGTACAGTGCATACTGGCTAGATATGTATAATCAATTTTTAGACAAATTTATCTACAATGTGTCGCTTATTTTCACTGAATGAACTGTTTTATATTTTTTCCATATATTATTCTGAATTGTTTCTTATGCACAAATGTTATAATAATTTGTTTCTGTAAACTTTCTATAGCTTCCTAGTTCCAAATGACCCAAAATAAATTTCTAAAACGTCGAGTTTAAAATATTGTATAAAATACCACTGAATTTATAAATTGCCTTTTAGAAAAATTAATATTTTTTACCTGCTAAAATCTAGAATCTAAAATCAATTATACAGCACTTTAGTAAAAATTTACAAATTTCAAATTGTAAATTATCTGCTTAAATAGATATCTCCATAATTGCGGTTAGAAACATCCAGTAATCGTAAAATTGTTTAAAACATCTATTTTATAATCTATATAAGGTCGAGTGATGATTAGAAGAAAGACATATATACAATTCACACACACATGTATATTTGCATATATTTATACAATACATCTTAATAAATAAAATACAGATAAATATGTATACAACCTTAGCAGTTTCAACTGCTCTCAAAATAATTGCGTTTCACAAAAGATTATTATTACATAAAAAATAATAATTATAATTTCAAGAAGGTATTAAATATTTATGAACATATAAAACAATTCTTTGATGCGATACTTCTGCTGACAACATTTTCTCTCTTTTTTCTACATATATAATATCTGTATCTTCATATTAAAGTTTGAACAGAATTTATCAAGAGTGATATCAGACTCGCAATGATTGTCTGTAATATAATATATTTACATAAGATAGTAGATTAGGTCCGCGATTACTTTTGTTGTAAAAAATGTACTTAATTTATACATCTAGAGAACGAGTAAATTTATAATATAATAAAAAAAAAGATAATCCATAAACGTTCATCAAAATATTACGAAATATAAATAATCTTCATAATGATGTATATTATTTATTATCAAAACACAAATCAACTTCTTTATTATTTTTCACGTTTAGAATTTGACATGTAGCATTTATTTATAAATCTCACACAATATAATCAACGAAGTAATACATTCGATAAACACATTTGTGAGATTATATATTGCTAGATAAAAAAAATTAGAAATCTTAATAATATTTAAATTTCATAACGTTACATTTTTTGTATTTGCAATGATGTAAAAAAGTGATAACGATGGTAAGTTTTATTCGATTTGGAATAACAATATATACTCGTACATGTATATGAATTTTATTACAATCTCTCACTATTGTCCTAAATATAAAAATATAAAATTATTATTAGTCACAAACAAATGTTTCATATATTTTCTGTTACATAGAATTATATATATATTTTCTGCTACAAAATACAAAAATACGACATAAAAAAGCAGTCGATTACTGGAACGTTATTTTTTATTTTACCTTAATTGGAGCAACAATTATAATACACCTCTTTGTAGTTAAAAATATTTAACATTTATTAATAATTAGAATACATCTAGTACTAACATATTAATTTTTTATAGATTATTAATTATGCATTAATAATTAATATCAGCAACTTCTTACTTGCCTTTATACAATTATTTCTGTATTTGCGCTAGCAAATTATAAGCAGAATATGATGTTTTAAGAAACTGCAATGATTATAAATATATAAATTTTTTTTAATTCTTAAGAGAAATAATTTATAAATAAAATTTTTACTTTAAATTCATGATTCTTCTTTATAATTATTCATTGTAAAAAATTTAATTACGGTGAAAAAAGTAAGAAATACGATTATAGTGACTTGTTCCACTTTCGGAAAAAATCAAAATATGTGGTTGGTAATTCTTTTTACCTAATAACTAAGAAAGAAATTAGAGATAGGACAAAAGATTGAACAAAAGTACAAATGACAGAACAAACTAGCTGAGAATAATTGAAAGGAAGAATAAAACATAAAGTTATACTTTGTAATATCTTACGAAATTTAATGTTGTGTTACATTTTATACTCACAGCTACAAAAGAGTCTAAGTTCATGTTAAGAATGTGTGCACCGTTAAATTCAATAGGTTTCATTGCACAAGTCATAATTATCAAAAGACTTTTTTTAGTTTTACGGTCCAAAGTCATCCATTCTATTTCGAAAATACTATCTACCAGTTGAAGACTCTATACATTTATGACATATTTTAAAGTATCAAATGTTTTACTTCTACGTTCTTTATAGAAAAGCATACCATAATTAACATACGTATACACATAATATTGCACACATTTATGTAAATATAAACGTGTACATAATAATTTCAAAACTAATAATATTAGTATGCATACCACCAATTTTAGCTTATTTCCAAACCAGCAATAGATGAAAATTTGTACAAGTACACAAAACGTATATGCAAAAAACGCAATAAAATCCATAACTAATTTAGTTCTAGTTAATCGGTACAAATTTGAACACACTAGAAATGTACTTGCTACGAATTGAAATGCGATTATTTTCGTAAATCTTTCATTAGTCGTATATGCAAATCTGTAAAGGAAATATTTTTATCGCAAACATTAAAATTAAATGCTTTGAAAAAATTAAGAGATATATAAAAAATAGATGTTACGTAATATTCAATATTTATAATCAAAATAAAACACAGAAAGATAAGTAATAAATTTTATATTGTAAATCAAGAACAAAATAATTAGTTAATAGAACGTTAATAGAACGCACAGCTACATAAATATGAGCCTCTTAGTTGATAAGTGGCATAAGTCTACCTTATAAGCAGAAGCCTTATGCCACTTGGCAACTAGAGAGAGGAGCTCATATGATAATAATAAGTAAAATAAATAAAAATAATATTGTATTATATGTAATAGAAGATTCAACTTCAGAATTTGGAAATACGTAAATAAGAAAACGTACATAAAGCAGTTAGTATTATATTACTAAATTTACAATTAATTATTATAATAAATAATATTAATAATAAATTATTATAATAAATATTTCAAATTAAATCTTACGAATTGCTCACGAGACTAACTCGATTATGTGACGATGTTGGCGTACACAGTCACGTAGAGTACAATGGCCGTTTATAAAACTTTTCAAACGATATTGTAAGATCTGAATTTCACAGCACAAATGCAATAACAGACCAACAATGAGACTGTCACAAGCAGCGTTAACAAGACACGCGGCCATTAAACCTAAGTATTGATGAACGTATGTGAGACAAAATAGCATGAATGACGAATAATCATACGGTATCCATCCCCTAAATGTTAATTGCCTCTTTTTGAAATTTGTCAGTAACGATATCAAAACATGGCCTATAAATGTGACCGTAACCATAATAGAATAACATATTGCGATATTCCTAAAAGAAACGTGAAAAATAATTTTTTCTTTACTTTAAGACAAAAATTATTTATCTTTTAAAGGAAAAGAATTCTTTTGTCTCTATATGTATATAAATATTATCAAAAATATATGAATAATACAAATATACTAAAAATGTAATCGTACATTGTGTTATATTAATTTATATAAAAAGATAATGAGGAAAACATCTTCAGAAAAGAACTCTATATTTATGAAATTAATATGGTATCTATATTTTCTAAGACTTTATTGTATTTCTTCATATTGTAGTTCATATATATTAAATATAAATCTAGGTAATTTCTTCTACTTACTGTATCATCTTATCAAATTTTCGCCGAATTTTGATTTCGATAAGTAATAGTGGTTTAAAAGTCTCTTCCGTAAGATTCTGAATTAATTCCGCGAAACTCTCATGATTCACAAACAGATTGAATATTTTATAATCTGCAGCGATCATGGTGAACATCGCGTATACAATATCAGTAAAATCATCTGGATTATCAACGTTCAGAACAACGTCCATAAATTGCGAGAATGTAAAACTGTACATGAGACAAATTACTAACAATGTATAGACGTCATATAATATATGTTTGGTCAGCGAAGTCCACGAGGAAGGTCGCCAGCATCCAGCAATTGTCAGAATCGCAAATGTGAATTTCAACGCGATCATATCTTCTAAACAAAATATTCTTTAAATTTTTGAATGTAGAAAACGTCTGTTTATTTTTATAAAATTTTTATAATTTCATTAATCTGATATGTACAACATGATCAATTATGTAATTTGTATTGTATTGTTTTGAGATGCACTTTGTGTGCTCTCTTGTTATATGTGTTGTGCGATATTGTCATCAGTCACAGATTAGTTGAAGAGATATGGACTTTATAGTGTCTATAGCTCGCGTACTCTGTTAGTGAATTTTCCCCTCGAATATGTAACATTATTGTCGTAATAGCAAACAGACTGATATTTTCCGTAAATTGACGTTTTCGTGAACGTTCCATTCTTATACCTACGTATAGTAATATAAGTTGTTGGCGACAGTTCAGTTGTATGAAATCTTGATACATTGTTGTACTCATCCATTATAAAATATTTTATTCATTGTCATTATTTGCGACATCTGTTTCCATAGTCTGTTCCGTGTCTTCTTCTCGGTAACTGTATGCATTTTTTATTAAGTTTATTAAACACGGAAAGTAAGAGAGTCCCAATTTATTCATTTTTGCTACGTAAAACATGACACATTCATTGATATTTGGATTGGATAAAGATGATAATCGCAGTAATTTATTCTCCATAATTATTTCTGTAGAATTCCTTAACTTTACAATGTATGTCTTTTAAATAAGTTTGTAAGAATTCTGTAGAAAAAATACAATAAAATTCCAATCGGTAATAAATAATAACAGTTAATATTTACGATACTGATAACTTTAAAGTTTCCATAAATATCGTCTATAGTCGCTTTTTCCGCTTATAGGCCCCTATCCAACATTTATTACTATTATGTAGAAATGTAGCATTTACTAACAGTATATTTTTTTATATCAGGTTGAACTTTCAGCAGAAATCTTTTGAATGTAGTGTTTTATGTGCTATAGCGAGCTACTGTTCTCGTATGAAAAATATGATATATATTGAGAGAAATGATGATTCTTTACTGTCCGCTTATAGATAATAATATATGTCATTGACAATGTCTGTCTCTACTTATCTTTAATTTTAATGAAGGTGAAAGTTATCCATCTAAATATTCTTTCAGTTTCCTTCTATTACTTTCAGTACCTACCTTCTATCTCTTTCAGTATCTATTGCTTCACGCTAGTACCAATGGTATTTTGTTCGATCTGCTCCTCGCATTGATTTTCACATTTACATTTTCTAGAAAATCTATGTATAGTGCATACTGGCTAGATATAATCAATTTTTAGACAAATTTAAGTACAATGTGTCGCTTATTTTCACTGAATGTACTGTTTTATATTTTTTCCATATATTCTGAATTGTTTCTTATGCACAAATGTTATAATAATTTGTCATATCTTAAAATTGGCGTGTCACGCTTTTTTGAAGCCTCTTTTCGTTGAGGCTGTTGGAATTCTCTGATTTTGATGTGGTTTAATATTCGGGGACTTTCGGGGTCGATTATTTCGAATCTGTACTCAAAAATTGAAAATTCGAAATAGTGGATCCAATATGGCGGACGTAAAATTAACGTAAATCCTAAAGATTGTTCGATTTTGATGAAATTAGATATATTGGTGATTTAGGGGGTGTTCGTTACGAATCCGTTCTCAAAAATTGAAAGTTCGAAATAGTTGATCCAATATAACGGACGGAAAAGTAACGGAAATCATAAAGATTGTTCGATTTTGGTGAAATTAGGTTTATTGGTGATTTAGGGGGCGTTCGTTACGAATCCGTACTCAAAAATTGAAAGATTGAAATAGCTAATCTAATATGGCGGACGGAAATGTTACGGAAATCCTAAAGATTTTCCAATTTTGGTGAAATTTGGTATATTGGTGATTTAGGGGGCGTTCGATACGAATCTTTACTCAAAAATTGAAAGTTTGAAATAGTTGATCCAATATGGCAGATGGAAATGTTACGGAAATCCTCAAGATTCTTCGATTTTGTTGAAAGTGGTTTTTGGGGGCGTTCGTTACGAATCCGTATTTAAAAATTGAAAGTTTAAAATGGCGTTTCGATTCAGTTTTCTAAAATCTGTTTTCGTTAATCTGGCGGATGGAATATAAGGGGGATTTTGGTTTTAGTGTTTTTGAAGTAGTATTTAAATTAGCTAAAAAAGCCCTTCAAGAATATGTACTTGATTTTTCATTTGCTACTATTTTTCTTTGTGGCTGTGCTAACTTTAGTCTTAAGTTAGAACAGCCACACTGTGGATCGAATCCTTCGACGTAAACGATGAGCAAAAAAATCGGATTCTGGATATTCTTAGAGCAAATAATTCTAGAAACATTTTGAGACCAAAATGATCCCGGCAATTGATTGCTTTAATGTACTTTACTCTTGTACGCGACCCAGCACAGCCACACTGTGGGTCGAATTTTTTGACGTAAACGATGAGCAAAATATCGGATTCTGGATATTCTTAGAGCAAATAATTCTAGAAACATTTTGAGACCAAAATGATCCCGGCAATTGATTGCTTTAATGTACTTTACTCTTGTACGCAAACCAGCACAACTACACTGTGGGTCGAATTTTTCGACATAAACGGTGAATAAAAAGATTAACTAAATATTGTTTATCAAAATGGTAGAATTAATGTGGCGATCGATAACAATAATGAAATTCTAAAGGTTTTCAAATTTCAGGGAAATTTTGTATTAGTAGGAATTAGAGGAGTTGTTGATTTCAAAACAAGTTTCAAAGAAACATAATTCATAATATTTAAAAAGAGTATAAATGGACCATCGCGCGTGTAGCGCGCGCAAGGAATGTGCTAGTTTCTGTAAACTTTCTATAGCTTCCTATAGTCCAAATGACCCAAAAGAAATTTCTAAAACGTCGAATTTAAAAATAACTGAATTTATAAATGTCTTTTAGAAAAATAAATATTTTTTGCCTGCTAAAATCTAGAGTCTAAAATTAATTATACAGCACTTTAATAAAAATAATCATTAAGTTTTAAATTAAAAAATTGATTATTAACATTTTTGTTGTATAAAATGTAAACGAAAACACCATGGCCTTCATATAAAAATACAATAAAATATTGAAATAAAAATCGTTGATTAATCAACTTATATATGACAAATGAAGCAGCAATTTATAGAAAAAATTTATTTTGAATTAGACAATATGTTTTTTATCGATTTTTGAAGATTGAGAAGACACAATGCCGTAAGACAAATTTTTCTAGCTAAATATAAGGTTTTTTTTAGTAAGATAAAAATTTCCGTTTATATGATATGTGTATGATAATGAAATCATAATGTGTATGTATACTTATAATTATAAATACATGTTTGATTTCATAACCGTAGGATTTATTAACTTAAAGAAATCTTATATTTCCTTGATAAGTTTCTTATATGGAATTATATTATCGTAGCTTATCTTAATTAGAGCAACAATTATTTACACCTCTTTACAGTTAAAAATATTTTACATTTATTAATATTTAGAATACATCTGGTACTAACGTATTAATGCGTTATTATGAAAATTATGCATTAATGATCAATATGTGTAACTTTTTACTTGTTTGTATTGTTATTCCTGCAATTGCGCTAGCAAATTATAAGCAGAATATGATGTTTTTAGTAACTGCAATTAAAATAATTATAAATATATAAACAATTTTAAATCATTAAGAAAAATAATTTATAATTAAAATTTGTATTTTATTTTTATGATGTTATCTTTTTTTATAATTATTTATTATGTTACTTTTAATTTGCGTATTATAGTACAAACTACCTTTTTGAAAACAGTACTCTAAAAAGTTTGAATCAAAAAATAAAAATATAAAAATTTTATTATAGTGATGTATCCACTTTCGTATAAATTAAAGTATGTGTTTGGTAATTTTTTTATTACATGGCTAAAAAAATGAGAAATAGAATAAGAGAATGAAAAAAAATAAGAGAGTAAATTAACTAACAATAAGAGTTATCGAAAGGTAAAATAAAAGTTTCAAAAGCTATACTTTGTAATACGCACGTAAAACTAAATTTTTGTTTTATGCCGATATCATTCTAGCTAATTAGAAATTGCATCTGCATTAGCGTTTGCGTCTCTTGATCAATCATAAAGAAACTGCTCGGCAGAAAGTCTTTTCTGATTAGTCAAAAGACGTAATCGCGATCGCAGACGCAATCTCCAATCGATAATGTGATACCGGTATTACATTTCATACTCACCGCAACAAAAGAATCTAAATTCATGTTAAGAATATATGCACTATTAAATTCAATAGGTTTCATTGCACGAGTCATAATTATCAAAAGACTCATTTTAGTTTTATGGTCCAGTGCTATCCATTCTATTTCGAAAATGCTATTTACCAGTTGAAGACTCTATACATTTATGACAAACTTTAATGTATCAAATGTTTTACTTCTAAGCTCATTATAGAAAAGCGTACAATAATTTATACTATTATACGTATATATATATATATATATATATATATACACAATACACATATTTATATACGTGTACATAATAAATTTAAGTTCGATAACATTAGTGTGCATACCTTCAGCTTCAGCTTATTTCCAAACCAGCAATAGATAAAAATTTGTACAAGTACACAAATTGTATATGAAAAAAACGCAATGAAATCCATAATTAATTTAGTTCTAGTTAATTGGTACAAATTTGAACACACTACGAATGTACTTGCTACGAACTGAAATGCGATTATTCTTGTGAATCTCTTGTTAGTTGCATATGCAAATCTGGAAAGAAAATGTTTTTAAAATTAAGAGATGTGTATTTCTTAAATAACACCAACTAATCACATAGTGCTATTTCTGATTTTAAAAAAACTGAGTTAGAAAGTCGTCTACCATTTGCAATTTTCGTATAGTTAACGGAATATTAATTCCTAAAGATTACCAAATAAACGGATAAAATCGATGCATATGACAATTTTAAGATATCTTTAAGTGTTTTTTAAATATTTTGAAAATGCTTCTAAAAGAACTCTTAAAAGATATCTTAAAATTGTCTTATGCATCAATTTCAAATATTTCATTTATTGGGTAACAAAAAAAATATTGCGAAAATTGCAAAATGATAAAGGACTTTCTGACTCAGTCTTTTATCAGGAATAGCTTTATATAACACTGTGTGACCACAAAAATTTTCCAAAGGGCGTGGGTTGATTATGTCGGGGGCACGGCCCACTACCATTTCCCCAAGGGATTTGGCAAAGTTAGATCGTACAAAAATGGGGAATCAATTAATTTATAGTTATGAATTTTGAGGAATACATAGAACTCTGCGAGAACTAACGAGAACTGCCGTTGAAACTGATAGAAATAGTCAGCACGTCCCTTTTTCTAGAAGTTTTATGCCATTTTCTATATATAGGATGTATAAAAATTGTTAAATGTTGTTATTTTATTTTGAAAATGCATATCTTAGTTGGTTTTTAGTAGAACTATCGGGAACTGTTGCTAAAAGTGCAAATATTAATTTTTTTCTCGTTTAGAGGAAATCTGACGTGCCAGATTCGCATAGTTAGCACGCCATATTTCCAATTTTAGTTTTTTCATATTAAAACTGCGGAACCATTTTTTATTTCTAGGTAGAACTGTAGAATGAAAAATGCTACTGGAACTGTTGTAATTTTTTTTATATGGACAGAATGTCGTGCCAGCTTCACAGATCCTACTATCTAATGCTATCTCATGTATTTGCAAAACAAAGTTCGCGCTCGCGCGCATAAGTGTGAGTGTGAGTTTGTGTATGTATGTGCGTGTACGTATTTGTGATAATATCTGATCACAAAACCATGAGAATAGCGCAACTGGTACTCCTCGAAATTAATAACTTCAAATTTATGCCCCATTCTTCTATACGATCTAACTTTACCAAATTTTTTGGGAAAATGATAGTGAGCCGTGTTCCCGACACAATCAAACCCACGCGCCCTTTGGAAAATTTTAAAAGTTGAAATCGGTCACACAGTGTAATTAGTAGACATTATTTAAGAAACACCCTGTAAAAAATAGCTGTTACGTAATATTTAATATTAATAGTCTAAATAAAAAATAAAGTGTTGAAATAACTAGTTTTATATCGTAATACAAGAACAAAATATTAACGCACAACCATATAAATAGGATAATCAGTAGAATGAAAAGAGATAATATTGTATTATATAATAGAAGATTCAACTTTTAAAAATACATAAATAAAGAAACATAAACAAAAAATTTTTAGTTACATATATTACTAAATTTACAATTAATTATTAAATATTATAATTAAGTCTAATAAAATGTTCACGAGACTAACTCGATTATGTGACGATGTTGGTGTACACAGTCACGTAGAGTACTCTCGCCATTTATGAGACTTTTCAAACGGTATTGTAAGATTGTAATTTCACAGCACAGATGCAATAACAGACCAACAATGAGACTGTCACAAGCAACGTTAACGAAACACGCGAATAATACACCTACGTATTGATGAGCGTATGTGAGACAAAATAGCATGAATGACGAATAATCATACGGTATCCATCCTCTAAATGTTAATTTCCTCTTTTTAAAATTTGTCAGTAACGATAACAAAACGTGGCCTGTAAAAGTGACAGTAACCAAAATAGTGTAACACATTGCGATGTTCCTACAAAACACGAAAAATAATTTTGTCTTTAATTTATATCAAAAACTATTTATCTTTTAATTGAGAAGTACTCTCCTGTCTCTATATGTATATAAAATTTATCGTATATAAATATGTGAATAATACAAACATATAAACAATTTAATCATTCATTTTTTCATATTAGTAATATTAAAAGACAATGTGGCAAACGTTTTCGGAAAAAAGAGTTTCAATAATATTCTAACTTTCTTTAACTTTGCTTAATAATATTCCATATTTATAAATTAATATGGTAATTACTATTTTCCAAGACTTTACAATTTCTTTATGTATGTAGTACGTATAAATTAAATATAAATTAATATATAATTTTTCGTACTTACTGTATCATCTTATCGAATTTTCGTCGGATTTCGATTTCGACAAGTAGTAATGGTTTAAACATTCCTTCCGTAATATCCTTAATTAATTCCGCAAAACTCTCGTGATTGACAAATAAATGGAGTATTTTATAATCTACAGCGAACATGGTCATCATCGTGTATACAATGTTAGTAAAATCATCTGGATTATCGACGTTCAGGACAACATCCATAAATTGCGAGAATGTAAAGCTATACGTGAGACAAATTACTAATAATGTATAGATGTCATATAATGTATGTTTGAGCAGCGAAGTCCACGAGAAAGGTCGCCAGCATCCAGCGATTGAGAGAATCACGAGTATAAATTTCAGCGCGTTCATATCCTCTAAACAAAATGTTCTTTAAATTTCTGAACGTAGAAAGTGCCTATTTTTTAAAAGAAATTTTCACAATTGCGTTAATATATACAACATATACATTAATATGTACAACATGATAAATTATATAATTTGTCTTGTAATGTTTTGAGATGCTTTTTGTATTCTGCTTTGATATATATATATTTTGTGATATCATCAGTCACGGATTAACTGAGGAGATATAGACTTTATAGCGTCTATAGCTCGCTATACTTTTATTGAATTTTTCGTTCGAATATTTAACATTATTATCGTAATATCAAATCTACACTGACTTTTTCTGTGAATTGATATTTTCATGAGAATTCCACTGTTATACCTATATATAGTAATATAAATTGTTGACAAGAGTTCAGATGTATGAAATCTTGATACACTGTTGTACTCGCCTATTATAAAATATTTTATTCATAGTCGCTGTCTGCGACATTTTCAGTTTCTTCAGTCTGGCGTTCCCTGTCTTTTTCTCAGTATCTGTATGCATTTTTTATAAAGCATAAACACGGAAAGCAAGAAAGTCTCAATTTAGTCATTTTTACAACGCAACACGTGACACATCAAATGATATCTGGATTGGATAGAGATGATAATCATAATAATTTATTCCCCCTAATCATTTCTATAGCATTTCTTAACTTTACAATATATGCTTTTTAAATAAGAATTTTGTAAGAATTCTATAGAAAAAATATGCAATAAAATTTAAATCATTAATAAATAATAACAATCGATATTCACGATACTGACAACTTTAAAATTTCTATAGGTATCATCTATAGACGACATTTTTTTCCGCTTATAGACCCCTGTTAAACATTTATTATTATTATGTAGAAACGTCGCGTTTACTAACAAGGTATTCTTTTTTATTTCAGTTTGAGTTTTCAGCGGTAAATCTTTGGAATGTAGTGTATTATGCACTGTAATGAGCTATTCTCATACAAAAAACGAGATATTGTGATAAATGATAATTATTTGCTGTCCGCTTATAATTATAAACTGCCATGGGCAATGTCTGTCTCCATTTATCTTCAATTTTAATGAAGGTAAAACTTATCTGTCTAAATGTTTATTAGCTTTCTATTGCTATCATACACACACAGTACCTACTTAGTATTGTCTCACGCTCTAGTCTAATCTAATTGTCTAATCCAACTGTAATTTGTTCAATTTGGTTCTCGTATTAATTTTTATTTTCCAAAAAGATACTACTTATACTACATACCTGTTAGATATAATCAATTTTTAGGTAAATATATCTTATTATGGACATTTTGTTACTTATTTTTGCTGGAAGTATTGTTTTCTTTTCAATTTTTTGTTTTTTTTTTCAGTATTCTAAATTTCTCATTCTCAAATGATAGTAATTCGTTTTATAAACTGTCTATAATTTCCTTGTGCAAATGATCCAACTAAATTTCTAAAGTGTCCAATTTAGAATATAGAATCTATAAATTGTGTTTTAAGTAGTAAATATTTCCTAACTTTTAGATCTAAGGTTTAGAATTAATCAAACAACACTTTGATAAAAATATTTAAATTTAAATATTGATTATTAATATTATTGTATGAAATGTAAACAGGAACATAGAATCTCCTCCATAAAATCGTCTGAATAAAGATACAATAAAATATTAAAATAAAAAATGATAATAAGTAAACTTTTGCATACCACCAATTTACTGCAAAAATTTACTTTAAATGAAAATTTATTAGGCAAAATATTTTTTATAGATTCTTGAACGCTGAAAACACACAATGCCGCGAACCAAATTTCTCCAACATTTCAGGTGTCCGAAATAATTGACGTTTAATGTGCGTGCAGATAATGGCTTTTTGCAATATTTAACATTTTTTTAAAATAATGTTATGTTTAAGTTTTGATCATTTGTTAAAAAGTCATGAATATATTAAATCTTTCTTTTATAAAAATTTTATTTAAAATACTTTACTTTTTAACCATATTATGAAGAACTAAATACAAGGTTCTTATGATAATTAGTAAGATAAAAATTTCCATCTATTAGAAAAACCCTGTATTTCCTTGAAATAAAAAAATTCTAGTTATTGAAGTTTATAGATAGTTTGTTCCATTTTAAATATAACAATAGGGTCTTACTATTTTCCTTTATAACCTTCTTTATTCTCTGTTTAGAACTCTTTGATGTTTGATAAAAAGTTGAAAATTATTCTTAATTTAAAAATATGTAAATACATATAAAAAAATATATATATATTTGTAATATTTTATCATATTATCAAATTTTTATTTCTCTCGAATTTAATGGTTTAAATAGTTCTTTAATAAAACGACTAACTAATGTAGCAACGTTTTTCAATCTTAACAAGGTGATAAAAGTTTTATAACACAAAGTCAAAATATTTAACATTATTTATTCAAATAATTAGTGAAGTCGTTAGGGTCATTAACGTTCATCAGATAGTTCATTATTTGCGTGAAAGTATATAACATTGGTACTAATGGGTGCTAATTACGTGTAATCTGTGTGTAAATATTGTAAATTATCTGTTTGAACAAAGATGTCTCCATGATTGCAGTTGGAAATAGTCTGTGATCATAAAAATGTATACGTTAATTTTATAACGTGTATAATTAAGTAATGTTTGATTAGAAAAAAAGTATATATTATTTCATATTTATACAATGGATCTTAATAACTATAATACTGATAAATAAATATAGAACATTTTACTAGTTTTAACTGCTCTATTCTGAAAAAAAAAATCATTATCACATAGAAAGAAATAAAATATAATTTCGTATACTTTATTTCTTTCTACGTATATTAAAATATCAAGAAAGTGTATTAAGACATCTATAAATATACATATAACACAATTCTTTGACATATACTTTTGCTGACAATATTTTTTCCTTTACAAATCAATACGTTTTCTTCTATAAATCAAATATTAGTATCTTCGTAATAAATTTTTAACAGAATTTGTCGAGAATAATGTCAAACTTACAATGATTATTTATAATATATTTATATACGTAAGGTAGTTAAAAAGATTACGTCTGTGATCAATTTTTATTTAAAAAATTGTATTTTTTTATTCTAGATCTGTATAACGTATATATTTGTAATTTTATAAAATAGAAAAGAAATAATTAACATTTAAAACGTTTATCAATATGATATGAGATATAAATAATCTCCATAAAGTCTTGATGTACACTATTTATTAATACACAAAACATTTTCTTCATTATCTTTCACATTTAGAATTTGATGTATTCTTTAGTATTGATTTATACTCACGTAAGATATAGTAATCGAAAAAGTAACATTCACAGAACTCATTTATAAGACTATTTATTATCAAACTGAGAGTTATATATATATAATAAAATTTTTAATAATATATAAATTCTCCTATGACGTGTCACATTTTTTTGTACTTGCAATGCAATTAAGTAATAATAATGTGTAAGTTTCTTTTTAAATAGAAATATATATTTATATATATATTTAGATTCTCTCCAGCATTATCCTGTATACAAAAATATTAAAACAATATTATTCAGAAATAAATGTTTCATATTCTGTTACATATTTTTAATATATTTTGATATAAAATACAAAATGTTCAAGAGAAGACAATTGTTATCAACTGCTAGAATGTTATTCTTTCAGTCTGATCTTAATTCGAATAACAATTTATATTTTTTTATAGACAAAAATATTTATTATTAATCAGCATGCACCTTTACTATTGTTCATTACTATATTTATGCATCATCATGTTATAATTTTCAAATTTAATTACGTATTAATAATAAATTCGAAATTTTTTACTTGCCTCTGGTACTGTTATTCCTGTATTTGGGCTAGCAAATTGTAAACAGAATATGATGTTTTAAGCAACTGCAACACAATTTCAAATATATTCAAATTGTATTAAGATCTTTGAGGGAGATAATCATCTGTGCAATTAAAATTTATATTATAAATTGTTATATTATGTTTTGTAATTATTAATTATGATGTTACTTATACTATATATGTACATTATAATGAAAAATTTCTTTATTGGAAATATTATTTCAAAAGTCTTAATCAAAATGTTAGAAGATAGAAATTTTTTTAGCTAATACCAATTGTTCCATTTTTGAATAAAGTATGTTCGATAAAAAATAGAGCAAAAAAATAGACATTACATGAAAACGAGAGAGCGAATTAGCTGACAATGAGATATTGGAATAAGTTTTTAAAAAATCAATATTTCGTAGCACTCTACAAGATTTAATTTTGTTACTATACATTTTTTATACTCACCGCTACAAAAGAATTTAAATTCATGTTAAAAATGTGTGCACTGTGAAATTCAATAGGTTTCATTGCGCGAGCCATAATTATCAAAAGACTTTTTTTTGTTTTATGGTCCAATGCTATCCACTCTATTTCGAATATACTATCGACCAATTGAAGACTCTATAAATTTATAACATATTTCAATATATTAAATGTTTTACTTTTAAATTTTTTATAAAAAAACAAAAATAATACATATACACATATTTTATAATATACGTGTGTATGTAATATACATAATATAAAATTTAGTAATTAAGTATGAATACCATTAGTTTCAGTTTATTTCCAAACCAGCAATAAATGAAAATTTGTACGAGTACACAAATCGTGTATACAAAAAAAATAATGAAATCTATTATTAATTTTGTTCTAGTTATTTGATACAAGTTCGAGCACACTACGAATGTACTTGCTATAAATTGAAATGCGATGATTTTCGTGAATCTGTCGTTAGTCGCGTATGCAAATCTGCAAAAAAAGTTTTTTCTCAAGCATTAAAATTAATTGCTTCAAAAATTAAAAAATTAAGAAGTCGTTATATATTTCTTAATATATACAGGATGTCCTACTAGGAATGGTTAATAATGAATACTGAGAAGTAATAATGTTAGCTATTTTAAGTAAAATATTCATACAAACGTGTGCTTTATTCCGAATGATTGTCGAAATAAATTAAACGATCGAGTTTAAAACAATTTTTTAAAAACCTTAAAAAATGAGTCGCTTAAACAATTAATTATTAAAAATTACACAGTTCTTTCTTAACAGTGAGTTTGTAACAATCAATTTCGGAAGTTTTTCAGAATGAGACACATTCATTTGAACATTTTTATTCAGAAATCTCGGAAACTTCATTCAAAATAAGATATATATTCATATGAATATTTTTCCTTAAAATAACCGGTACCATCACTTTCTAGAATAATCATCTTTCCTTTTAGAACATCACATTAATAGTCAAAAGAAGATATAAAGTGTGTATTAAGATAATGAACATTGATATTCAAGAACTAAATATGAATATAGCATATAATTACATAAATACAAGTGAAAATAAATAAATTAAAATAGAAATAATATTATGATTAAAGATCGAACTTTTAAGATTTTAAAACATATTTCTCTAATGTAAATAAGAAAAGTTTTAAATTATATATATATATATATATATATTTTTTTATATATATATATATATATATATATTATTAAATTTAGAATTAATATTCTAAGATTAAATCTAACAAGATTTTCACAAGACTAACTGGATTATGTGATGATGTTGGCGTACACAATCACCTAGAGTATTTTGGCCATTTATAAGTCCTTTAAAACGATATTGTAAAATCATAATTTGACAGCACATATGCAATAACAGACCAATAATGAGACTGTCACAAGCAACGTTAATAAAAGCTGCGGATATCACGCCTACGTATTGATGAGTGTATGTGAAACAAAATAGCACGAACGATGAGTAATTATATGGTATCCATCCTCTAAGTATTAACTGCCTCTTTTTGAAATGTGTTAGTAATGATACCACGAAGTGGCCTGCGCAAGTGGCCATAATCAAAAAAACATAACACATTGCGATATTCCTACAAAATGGGAAAAGTAATTTTGCCTTTATCTCGCAAAACGAAATTTATTTTTATTTTAATAGAAAAATATTCTCTTACATCTATATAAAATTTATTATAAATATAATACAAATAATACAAAAAATTTAAACACAAATAATACAAAGAAATTAAATATATAAACACACATTTTATTAACAACGTTAGTAATATTAACAATCTACGGAAAAAGTCTTTGAGAAAAAATGTTAGATTTTCTAACTTTTCTTAAACTTTCTTTAATGATTTATATTTATAAATTTAATATTTTAATTATTGCAAAATTTGTAATTTTGCAAAATTTTATTATTAGTTCACATAATTTTTACAACTTAAATACTATAAGTCAAGATATAATTTGGTGCTTACTGTATCATCCTGTCGAATTTTCGTCGAATTTCGATTTCAACAGATACTAATGGTTTAAACGTTCCTTCCGTGAGATTTTGAATTAACTCCGCAAAACTCTCGTGATTCACCCACAGATTGAGTATTTTGTAGCACCCAGCGAATATGGCCAACATCGTGTATACAGTATTAGTAAAATCGTCCGGATTATCGACGTTCAGGACAATGTCCATAAATTGCGTAAATGTGAAACTGTACATGAGGCTAATTACTAATAATGTGTAAGCGTTATATAATGTATGCTTCTTGAATGATGTCCATGAGAATGGTCGCCAGCATCCAGCAATTGTTAGAATCGTGAGTGTAAATTTCAACACTCCTTCCATATCTTCCTACCAGATTTCTCAATGTAAAACAAACGCCTCCTTTCTATTTTAAAGTAATTCTTTTTAATTGCATTAGTCTAATATAAACAACATGATCATCTATGTAACTTATGTATAACGTTTAAGATGCTATTTGTGTTCCTTTGGTATAAGTATTGCGTGATATTGTCGTCAGTCACGGGTTAGCTGAGGAGATTATGGATTTTAGTATCTATAGCTTGCCATATTTTTACTGAATTTTCCCCTCGAATAATAGTAACATTATTATTGTAATAGCAAATACCTGGAATGATGTTTTCCGTGAATTGACATTTTCGTAAGAATTCCAATGTTATACCTATATATAGTGATATAAGTTATTGACAAGAGTTCAGATGTATGGAATCTTGATACATTGTGTAGTCATCTATTATAAAATATTTTATTCATTATTGTCGCTGTATGCGACAACTTTATTTTCCCTCAGTCTGGTATCTCAGTCTTTTTCTCGATATGTGTATGCATTTTTTAATAAGTATATACTGGAGAAAGCAAGGTTTTTAATTTATTTATTATTGTAACTGTTTTCTTTATATTTTCTAGTATATCTTCTGAATTGCTTCTTATACACAAATGCTATTCCAATTTGTTTGATGATTTTTCTTTAAAGATCTTGGTAATTTTCTGATCGTATGTAGTATATGCTTTATAATTTTTGAAATACTTCTGAAATCTAACTCTATATATGTATGATATATTTAAGTGCATTTAACAATAGTCTTCGATTTTTATGATAAAAAGCAGGTGAAAGGTATAATACAAAAAAAAATACAGATAAGTAAAACTTCTTTATTTATATAAGTAATATTTGCGACTTGCAATTACGCAAAAAACTATGATTACTATCGCAGACATTTTTACACTTGTTGTTCAACGTTCCTTGACATACGCTTTATATTTTTCATCATGCGTGCACGTAATGTGCCCTACACCTTAACGCTTTTGCGTGCGGTAAATAGCCAATACCTCAAGCCGTTGAGTTATTTCTCTAATCCCACTCTTCTGCGCAAAAACGTTACTGTATAGGGCACATTACGACGAGCACTTGTAATGAAAAATTCTATGTGTAGCTAGTGGGGGCATATTTGTTTATAGGTCGGCACGGGCGCTCGTGCGCTCGTGCCCGGCCGCGCAATAAACAAATATCCTCCACTGTTACACAATGTACTATTAAATACTATTTATTCTTCCTTACCATTATCACTATTCTTCATTTGTTTGTTTAAGTATATTATATACTGAATATGACATCTTAAGTAGCTAAAGAGAATATATCAACATTTACATAACATTGTTTAACTCAGTTGTTTTTTAAGAAGTCGGTGGTATACGATGCTTACTTTCCTGCTGGATTCCCAATTGGATTTGATTCTTGCTATCATATTATTGCTATCATATTGCTTGCTGACAGTGCTAGCATCGCAGTAAATATGGTAGTAAAAATCTAATCCAGCTAGCAATTCAACAAGAATACAAGCATCGTGTGCTACTGACTTTACAATTATAAAAAAATTTATCTCTGACCTTCACGAATGAATCTAGATTCACCGTAAGAATATGGGCACTAGAAAATTCGATGGGTATCAAAGAGCGGTTCATAATCATTATAATATTTTTTCTTACTTTTTGATCTGCTGTTATCCAATCCATTCCGAAAATTTCATCGGAAAATTGAATGCTCTATAATATAAGTTGTCAGAGAAATATAGTTACAATGTAATATTTCTTATTGCAACTGTAAGTTTAAACGTTTTTTAAATTTAAATTAAAAAATTATTTTTCTTTATTCTATTATTTGATTTTAGGATGTTATTATCAATATTTTTTATACGACAAAATGATATATATATGCACAAAATAATACCTTTAATTTCACTTCGTTCCCGTACCAACAGTAAAGAAGAATTTGCGTACACATGCAGAGTGTGTATAATATCAGTGGAATATATTTTGGGCTCAATGTGGTTTTTGCCAATCGATAAAGATTGGAACACACTACTAGCATACTTGCGATGAATTGAATGGCAATTATAATTCTAAACTTTTCATTCATTGTGTGTGCAAATCTACAAAAAAAGATCAATATTATTACTCTTAAAATTATTATTATTGCTCATGATTAATTAAATATTACAATATTCTAGAGAGAGAGATTGAGTTAAATAATCCTCATCTAATTAATAAATAAAATTTAGCATCCAAACGCGCATGATTGCAAGTGAAGTATAAAAGACATACCATAGAATATAATTAATATTAAAACTTTGTGTGTATATGCACGCTACGTTGCGTGCTCTGCACCTTAAGATTAAGAGAAACATTTAAACACATAAAATTCTATGCAAAGACTAACTTATAGATATGATCGTGCTGACGTACACATTCACCCAAGTCGTCTCGGTTGCGCAAGGCTTTTCTTACACGGCACTTTAAGATCTCGATTTGGGAATAAATATGCAACAGCAATCCACAAATCATTATATCACAAGCAACATTCACGATCGACGCAGCAGTTAAGCTCATTAATTGACGAAAGTACGTGAGATAATACACTGTATCGGACCACTCATAGGGTATCCATTCTCTGTACGCTAAATCTCCTTTCCGGAAATCCGTAAGCAAAGATGTTAAATTCATGCATCCGCACGTTATCTCAACAAAAATCGTATATATTATAGAATTGGTCCTGCAAAATGACTATGCAGGCTGGACTAATTCGATGACTTTGTTTTGTATTTTTCTCCTTTAATTATAAAAAGAAAGAAAATATATATTTCCTATTTCTTTCTTAAAATAACAAAAAGATTTTGTCTATTTATTATTTACTTATTAATAAAGATCGCGTATCTTGTATTTTTGTTAAGTAAATTTTAAAAATTCAAAATTATTATATATAAATATGTAATATTAAAATGTTATATAATAAAACTAATGGAAATCATGAGACAATAAAATTAAAACATACGGTTCTTCATTCCTTAAATGGAAGCAGCTTCTTACCGTATTATGTTATTATATTTTTGTCGAATCTCAATTTCATCTGGTTCCAAAGGTCTAAATGGTTTATCAACCAATGCATCAGTTAATATCTCAATATTCTTGCGATTTAGCAATAGACTGAGCATCTTGCAGACAGCGATGATCATGGCCAACATTATATAAAAAGTATCCGTGAAATCGTCCGCATTATTAACATTCAGGATAATATCCATGAGTTGCGGCAACATGAAAGTGAGCAATAATAAGCACATAAAAACTGTATATGCATTGTACATTGTCCGTTTCCATAACGAAGACCAAGAGACTGGTGGCCGGCATCCTGCTATCGTGAGGATTTTCAATGGAAATTGCATAACTTGCATTTCTCGAAAATTTTTTTATTCGCTCTCTAGTTTAAAATAAAACATATATATATATATATACTATATATATTACTATTGCATATGTATATCTGTATATGTATATATACTTTTATCTTTAATAAACATAAAATACGTTTCATTATTGTATAAAAAGTAAAATAATCTAAATATATTTAACGCTGTTTATTGTAAATGGTTTATACACTTATATCTAGACAAAGTCTCGGCCTTGCCTTTGTAATTTAGGGATGGGCGATACAGAAAAAAATCTCGATGTATCGTATCGCAATGTATTGCAAGCAGAAATATTGATACAACGAAATATCGGCTGGCTAATTTGCGATATTTCTATTTTTAGTCTTTCTAGGCAAAACAGTATTCAGCACGATTATTCGTGCATGCGTGAAGGCATGCAACATAGAAAAATTGAAGTTATTTACGCTTTACAGGGCTTCACCGTCGCGACTTTTATTTCACAATATTTTACACACAGAATTAAACGATTGTTGTCTGATAACGACACACACACGGCAAATACGTCCAGACTTACCAGATTCCGGCTTACGGTACGCACCGGTAACGCGTGGTGAGTGAAGAGTAGGGATTGCCTGACAGTCTAGTAAACACCCTGCGCTGCACAATCCGCTTGCGCACTTGCGCAGGAGACAAAGAGAAATTAAACTGAAATGTAGTAAATTTGGCTCTGATTAATCAACTTTCCATCCAATCTCAACCCGTACTAAACTGTAACACGGGCTTAATGGACCGTATTAGAAGTTCGAATGCTGATACGACAATATCGAAAGATAAAATATTGATATAAAATATCGGGAAAAAAAACCAAAAATATCGGTTAAGTTCGAATGCTGATACGACAATATCGAAAGATAAAATATTGATATAAAATATCGGGAAAAAACCAAAAATATCGGATTTAAAATATCGACGCTGTATCGCTCATCCCTACTTTGTATGAAGACTAGGCTTCGTATCCTTTGCTAGAAGACTCGGGCTTCGTTCACTTTCTTCGCTGGCTCGATTAATTCTGAGGGACACTAGTGAAAAGATTAGGAGGTACCGAATTATATAGCAATTTTCATGGTCATTCACGACCAATCGTTATTATAGTTGCCGCGCTAAATTCGCGGATTGGTCGTATTATTTTTCATGTAAATTAAGGGGCGCCAATGCGATGTCATGGTTACCCTTTTCTACAATCTTACACTCATGATATACGATGAAGTACTATATGCGTGTGTCAATGAGTGTGTATGTGTGTATATAGTGTAGTAGACTCACTTTTATAATTTATTATTTATAATCACTACAATAATTTGTAACACGCAACATTTTATGCTGTACGTAGGTAAATATAAGATTAGAATTGAATAAACTTCAATCACTTGTACAATTAGCTAATTTATTTAATTCGATATTAAATAAGCAAAATAAATATTGCATTTTATTCATTAACTTTAGAAAATAATATTTAATAATATAAATGACTTACACAAATAAAAAATATTAAGTATAATAAAATATTTCATATAAACTTTATACATTGATTTTAAAGCAATTTTGTTTTGACAAATCTTACAATGTCTATAGACACGCAACACTACTTTCTGCATTCATTGTTCGCCTCTTTGTAGCCCATGGCGAAGAGCTACACATGTCATCAAGATAATATATGTATACGTAACTTGTAATATATTCCCACTGGTAATAATACTTTTGTAAAATGATATACATAGCTGTGTTTCTTTTTTGCAACTTTTATATAAACCGTTAGACGATACACTGGTAAAGGGTCAGAAGGGTGCCGAATACATTAAAATGGTCTAAAGAAAAAAAAAACCTGACGACAACGAAACCCTTAGACCATAAATTAGGGTGTGTCGCCATGAAATTTTAATGTAAGTAATCTATACTTTCATATAAAAAATATGGAAGTTGTTATTGTCATCAGTTCCGCCTCACATCAGGTTGTCATCGTTAATTCTGTTGCTTATATTGATCGATAATTCTGGCAGGATACAAGCGATTCAAAGAACTTATTAAATATACATATATAGGTAAAGCGAATATACACACTGTAATACCTTCAGTCTGAGCTAGTAAAAATAAAGTGAGGAAAAGTCTCACTTAAAAAATTTTCTACATTCAAGATTAAATAAAGAAAAAATGTTTAAATAAATAAATAAGGAAATAACATTTTTTAACTGATTTTTACACTGTGAAAATCTTTTTAGCAGTAAAAATAAAGCAACATAAATTGGTAGAAGATTGTAAATAAAAATCTAAAAAAGAAGCATATAATAATCAATAATTGTTATTTATTTATCTATTAACTTTATATAATGAATAACAGGAAACTTAAATAATAATTAACATTAATCATACAAGTAATATTAGAAAATATGGCTTTCTATAGTTTTTATACTATCTTCCATTTGAATTATGTTGATTGCATTTGTTGTAGTACGTTATAAACCGAATATGATGTTTTAAGTAACTGCAATAAAAAGGTAAATCTTTTCAAATTCATTTTGTAGTTGCTAATTTTTAAAATTATTAAATTATATTGCCAAATATAATCTCCAAATTAATCAAAAATTGCCAATACAATCTCCAAAAAGTTTTATGAGAAAATTAGCTTTTTATATAAAAAGGACATACATTTTTATAATAATATAATATGATTAAAAAAATAAGTCAAATTTTGTTATTTATTAAAAATATAGTAGGTATTAACTTTTATAATTTATACACTAAAAATTTATGATATATATGTATACATATATCTATATTTTTAATAAAATTTATATTATTATTAATTGATCTCTAATTGTTTAGTCACAATAGACTTGCTATACTCACGCTTACGAAAGAATTAAGATTCATTGTAAGAATGTACGCGCTAGAAAATTCAATAGGTATTAATGAGCGATTCATAATTATTAATAAATTCTGTTTTCTGCTTTGCCTCATTGTCAACCATCCCATTCCAAAGATATTAGTGGTGAGTTGGACACTCTGTATTAACAAATATGTACATGAATTGAAAAACATTATACAAGATTCTTAAAAAACAAATTACAATTACTGTTCCCTTTTATCAATTACAGAGCATTTTTGTTGTTACAGTTGTTTTTCATAAGCTGAGAATTTTATTCCTAAAATCGATAGATGGAGTATTCGTAATAAGACTAACAATTTTATACCTAGGAAGTATTTAATATCGCATAAGTATTGAATAAATTGTACAATACTGCATGTTCAAGCTTTTCAAAATATGCACATAATTTGCACCTTTAGCTTTACTTCGTTCCCATACCAGCAATAGATAAGAATTTGTGTGAGCATGGAGCATGTGTATAATATCAATGGAAAGCATTGCGCAGTCAATTTTATCTTTGCTAATTGATACAAATTGGAACATACCACCAGTGTGCTCACAATAAATTGAATAGCGATAATCATCTTGAATTTTTCGTTTACCATTAATGCAAATCTACAAAATAAAAACATTGTATATATATTTAAAATATAAATTTATTTGGATATATAAATTTTTACAATATTTTTAAAAAGTATTATCTTGTACAAAGTAAAACATTTTTAATATAGTGAATAAAATACTGTAAAAAATATACAATAAAGAAGATACAAAAACATTTTAAACAACAGTTGCATGACTTAAAAGGATGCAAATAATAAAATTCATTTAAAAAAAAATTTTTTTTGTAGTCGTAGACTATTCCTATATTTTTAAATGGAATTATATGGTTTTTTTACACATATATTTTATGATTCCTTTAATTATTCTGTATATAAAAATATTAACATTGTACAGGCCAGTGCACGGTAGGAAATAAAATTACACCAATGTGGCATATCATCGGCCATTTGATTTTCAATTTTTTAAATTTTTTTTTCATCATTTTACAATCTGCAAGATTGTTAAAGAGACTAACTTAAATATACAGTCGTGCTGACATACACATTCGCGCAGATTGTTTTGACCGAGGAAGATCTTTTTCAGCCGGTACTCCAGTATTTCAAGCTGACAGCATACGTGTAATAATAAACCACAAATCAGACTGTCGCACGCAACGTTCACCATAGAGCCAAAAATCGTGCTTATTAATTGACGAGTATATACGATACAGAATATCACCTCGGACGTGTTGTTATATGGTGTCCATTCTCTGTATGTTAAATTACCTTTCCGAAAATCGGTGAATAATGATGTCAACACGACGCATGTACATGTCGCTTCGACCAAAATTGTATACCATAATGTATTCGTTCTACAAAATGGATAAGCAGTTTGTTTTTTCATATTTTTCGCTGCACATTAAACATTTTTCTATGCACTGTTATTCTATATAAAATATCTTTACTAAATTTTTAAAATATTTTTATACATTATTAAAGAGAGAAAGAACTTAATTTTTATGTACTTACTGTATTGTTTTGTCGAATTTATGGCGGATTTCTATTTCGTCAGCCTCCAATGGCATAAATGGTTTCTGAGTAAGAATATTGGTTAATATTCCTATATCCTTGCGATTTATCAAAAGACCGATCATTTTACAACAAGAGATAATCATGGCGAGCATGATATAGAAAGTATCCGTAAAATCGTCGGCATTGTCGACGTTCAAAACGATATCCATAAGTTGTGACAACATGAAGGTGAAAAGCAACAATATTACAAAAATAGTATATGCATTATACATAGTACGTTTACACAATGAGGTCCATGAATTTGGTGGCCAACATCCCACAACCGTAAGAATCTTTAATGTCAGTTCAAGAACCTGCATTTTTTTTCCGTGTTTTTAATGTCACTCTCAAATGTTAACCTTATATTAAAGTATTCTTGCTATGTTGTAATTTATATAAATTGTATAATTAAGTATATTAATATTTATAACACGTTTCCTTCTTTTAATTAATAATATTATTAAATATAAGCTAATAAACTATTCTCACAAGATATTAAATGTTGACTTATTATTATATACAGCACGCTCTTTCGACGTAGATAGTTTAATACATAAGTAATATAATATGATAAGATAAAATTTCACGTATCATATGTGAAATGTATAATAATTAATTTTGTAGAATGAGGAAATTAAAAATTGTTTTTACCGTACAAACAAGATTTCTTCATATATATAAAATACAAAAGTCTCTCTCAATAGTACCGTGAACCAGCTTTGCAAAATTCTGTGTGACAAACCTCAGAATGTCTATAGTCGCATGTTATGACTTTCTGGGAGCAATACTGCTCTTCCCCTCCGCGCTTAGCAGCTATATAATTATCGTAATACTAAACTTGCAATATCATCCCTCACTTTCTTGCTACGGTTTGTATGCACGTACATTTTCAAATGCAAACTATATATGACAACTATGTAATATAATAATACAGCGAGTAGAGAGAAAATGTAAAAGAAAGCAGGCAGAAACTTAAGCGTAGAAACTTAACAGACCATGAATTGAATTCTACCTTTATAAAATCGTAATACAAGTAACCCACCAATTTACTTAGTAAATATTTATCAATGCTGTTGGCGTTCTGCATTTGTTATTCATTTCAAATTTTAATTTATAATTCTATTTCGATTTGAACAGTCATAATAATAAATATCTAACAAAATATAATATATACCTATAAATATATACCTAAAGGAAAAACTTTTTATAAATGTACATGCAACTATGTTTATATTGTGTTATATATGTACAGGATTAACAGGTATTTCTTATTATATCATACATATATTGAAACATCTATTTTTTAATTAAAAATGATACCCCCAATCATCTTCTCAATATGTCGTATAAAATTATTAAAAATAATCAAAACGCATATAAGCAATTGTCATTTATTTATCCACAGATGAAATACTAGTTGTGATGCAAACTTCTACAGATATTTATTAGCAACAAAATGACATATTGGAAAATATTTTAGTAATCTCAATTTTATTCATATCTTTTACTTACGATTTCTACACTTGCTTTAATATGTTATAAGCTGAATATGATGTTTTAAGTAACTGCAACAAATGTATATAGACCTTATAATTCATTTTACGATTAGTCTAACATACATAAACAATATTATCTTCGTGTGCTATATCAAAATTATTATATTTTTAAACTAATTTCTATAGAAATTATCCATTTTCTTATTTTCCAAAGAGAGAGTTAAATAAAATATATTTTAATCAAAAATAAAATCTCTTATTAATTATGTTAAGTAAAAAAAGTCATAAAATTGAGAATAAATTCTTTTACTAACCCCAACAAAAGAATCGAGATTCATAGACAGTACGTAAGCGCTGGTAAATTCTATTGGTACAGCTGCACGACTCATAATTATTAATAAACTTCTTTTCAGATTTGTGTTCATCGTCATCCAATCCATCGCGAAAAGATTGTCGAGCAGTTGAATGCTCTATATTTTAAACATAGAAAGTATCATTAATCTATCAAAATTAACAAATTTAATTCCTTTAAAATTACAAATTTGATTACAAAATTCGTATATCATTACATAAATTTATTTTATGTATAATAATATGAGCTTTAATATCAAATTATGTATACTTTAAGTTTTTAAAACTAAAAATGCGTAACAACTTAATAACGCGCACCTTTAACTTTACTTCGTTTCCATACCAGCAATAGATGAAAATTTGTGTCAACATACAGGACATGTATAATATTAAGGGAAGATAGCTCGCATTTAAACTTGTTGATTTAGTCATTTGGTACAAATTGGAACATACTACCAGTGTACTCACTACAAATTGCATGGCGATAGTCATTCTGAATTTATTATTCAATTTGAGTGCATATCTGTAAGATATGTATATCTATGTATATTACATAAATGACTTTTCAAATTTTTTTAAAAGAAATAAAGTAGAAAATAAAGAATATAATAATATACAAAAAAATATATATCAAAATACTTTGAATCAGAATAAAATATACAAATATACATATAACAAAAAATTTTTTTATTAATGTAAAATCTTTACTTTTACTTTTTCAGTAACATGTGTAAAACATTTTCAGAACACACACAATAAGATAAAACAACTAACTGCAATATACTGTTGTGATGACGTACACAGTTGCGAAGAATATCGTCATTATTCGATACTTTGCTTAGTCGGCATTCTAAGATCTCGATTTGGCAGCAAATTTGCACCAACAATCCGCAAATGAGACTGTCACAGCCCACGTTGACGAGCGATCCAGCCGTCAGACTAATAAGTTGATGAGCATATGTAAGACAAAATATGATGCTAGACGAATAATAGTCATACGGTAGCCATGCTCGATATGTTAAATTTCTTTTACTGAACACCGTGAATAAAGATGTCACGGTTATACATGCGCATGTTGTTTCCACCAAAATTGTATAGTAGAGTGTGTTGATACTGCAAAATGACTGTGAAGATAGTTATGCTTATTTATATAATACAATTTTTAATATTTAATTAATAATTATTAAAATATAAAAATACTTGTAATAATTAGACGGTATTATATAATACTATGCGTTTATATACAATTTTTATATAAAAAAATAAAAATTTGCAATAAGTTTTTCTAAACTTATTATTTTAACTTCTTTTTGAAAGTAATCTTTATCATAATGCGATAAAACTTACTATATAAGTCTATCAAATTTGTACCGAATTCTCATTTCGTCCATTTCCAGTGGTCTATACGGCTTTTCGATGAGTACGTTGATTAACATATTAATATTCTTTCGATTCACTAACAAACTGAGCATTTTAGAACATGAAACAACCGATGCCATCATGGCGTACAAATTTTCGGTAAAATCTTCGGCATTGTCAACATTCCAGACAATGTCCAAAAATTGCGATATCAAAAAAGTATATAATAATATAATCATAAAAACCGTGTATGCATCGTATATTATACGCAAATAAAGTGACGAGCACGATTGCGGCCGCCAACATCCAACAAGTGTCAGAATCTTGAAAGTTAATTGCAAGACGTGCATCTTTTATTTCACGTTATGTTGTTTTCTTATATCTAAATTTTATTTAAATGTTTTTACAGTAATTGTAAATATTATATGGAAAGAATTATTTGCGAAATATTGAAAAATATTTTGCACGAAATTTTATTTACTACAATATTTTTAAAAGTATAGCATCTTTAAAATAAATTAAGAAACAACGAATAAGACATTTTCTGTACGACTGACAATCGTGGAACTTTTGTACCCCTTTTTTTTCTTCAGATTCCATAGTCTATACTATTATGTAATTATCATAATATCAGACTGAATCATTGATCCTATAAATACATATTTATTGTTCCGTTAGGTTCTATAATAATAGTCTCTGAAAATACAACGTTTATATACTGATATTTTAAATAACATTTTTATATTTAGTTACACAATATCATGTAAGGAATGAAAACAAATGTATCTCCCGTCTATTTTATATCATAAATTTTAATGCAAGTAATTCAGTTGTATTTCTATTTCTCAAGTTTAAAAATATTTCTTTTGTTATGACCACTAAGCGTATTGCTAAATCGTTGACGTTCATGATTCTATTTCTATATATTGATTTCAGGCACTGTGAATTCTGACTTTCGTTAGAAGCAGATGTTGAAATTATATTACATTTATGAAATGTGTTATAAAAAACAGAATATATAGGTAAGAAAATACATAATGTAAAATCAATATAAAATAGATATTAATAAATGTAAAATATTTAGAAACGAAGTTACTTTTGCCTACATGTATTATTGCAGATGTGTACTATTGTAAAGGAAAAAGTAATTCCGTTTTTAAAATTTTTGTGCTCAAAAGTGCTCACAAAAGTGCATGTAGGCAATCGAGCTGTAGGCAATAATTTTTGTACTCAAACAAATTGTTAGCAAAAATGATGTTGGCAATCGATTTGTAAGCAAACGGCATCCCGGAAAATTATAATCTTAAATTAATATGTTTAGTAATTAATAACTTTCTATTGATTTTTTAACAAAAGGTAATTTAATTATATTATTTTTCTTTATCTTAAAAATGTTTTATTCATTATTACCATGTTGCATGTTATTAGACGATATATCGCCATGATTCTTTCTCCATACTGATTTCATTTTATGATATATTAATACAATACATATTTGACTTCTATCTCGCATATTTAAATTGTGGTATATCTGTGAAGGAAGTGTGTCATAAAGAATATAATAAAAAAGTGCATTATATATGTTAATAAATATTGAATAATAAGAAGAATATGCAATAGAATAAATTATATATTTAGATAATCTATTTTTATAATAGTACGTAATGGAAACGTTAAATACTAGTTGCAATACTAATTGCCTCTCTTCCCTGATTTTACCTCATTTGATATGAGTAGTACATTAATATTATATTTCTTATATACTTATTCCCGTATCTGTTGAAGTAAGTTGTATGTAGAATACGACGTCTTAAGTAACTAAAATTAATATATAGACACTTACAATTTTGAGTTAAATGTTTTTAATAAATTTATAGCTAATTTCTTGCGATATGCTACATTTTAATTATTAATCTTGCGAAATTGACAGTGGGTTTATTAGATTTATCTAATTATATTCTTTATGTTAAATCGCTGCACATTTGAATATATTGTTTTGAAAATAAGCTTACAAGGGAAGTGACCAAAGTGTTAATCGTGAATTGATACAAAATATATATCTTAATATTGGGGGGCTAGTGTGAAGTTGGCCCCCCAAGACATAATTTTCGTATATCCTTTGAACTAAGGGTGAGCAAACGAAAATTCCAACTGAACATTCTTGGGCAAACGATGAACAAACGAATGCATGAAAAAAAAAATCGATTTTTTAATATTGGGAGGCCAGCTTCACACGGGTCCTCTAGAGGCGCCATTCAAGCGAAATATTGCACAGTTATATTCTACTCGGCAAGACCTTTCCAACGATATATATTTTGTATCAATTCACGATTAACACTTTGGCCACTTCCCTTGTTAGTATTCATTATTTTTTATACGAAGATTTTGAAATTAGCTCTTCGGAATATTAAATACATATGCTGCTAGTTTTATTTATATTATATTACATAATACAGAATGCCTGATGTAAATGATCAAATTACCTTTCATGACCAAATAGCACAGACAACATTAAATTGAAAGCCTTATACCATTTTACAAAATTTTCATAATAGTTAATGAGATATTAATTTTTAAAGCTGCCAACAGCATGGCCTACCGTGCCAAATATAAGCACGCGGTGAGATAGGACAGTTACACTGTAGATTGAACACGCGAGATGTTTACTACGGCTGTTTTCCGATATATACTGCGAGTACTGAAAATTTATATAGTGCACGTAACGTATACTGTAGATTTTGAGTACTGGCAATGAATATCGAACCCAGCCTACAATTACTACGAACGGTATTGGCAACGCGAAAAAAAGCAGCGAAAGAAAGCAGCGAAAGAAAACACCGCGTTGAGCGATCGTACATGCTACACTCTTAAATTTATAAATACTGGTATACAGGATATATAAATTAATTTCTCGTTATATTTATTACGAAAATTGCATAATAGTAAGGTACTTTTTGGTTCAGTTTTTGTCTGCTCTAAGTATCTGCTTATGAGAGGTGATTATTGTCAAAATTAGTTTTAATAATATCCATACTAACACTCATAAAGGAATTAAGATCCATAGGAACAGTATAAGCACAGGTGATCTGAATAGGTACGATTGCCCGGCTCATTATTATCATTAGAGACTTCTTCCTATTTTCGTCCAATGCCAACCATTCAATTTCAAAAAGATTGTCGATCATTTGATGACTCTACTGAAATATGTAAAATGTATTTCCATAACATTTATGCAATTAACAAAAGATATTTATTAATAGCTCTTAGACATTTATATGTTTTAACAATATGTACATTATTTTGTAAATATATATAAACTGAATAGATTTGGCGAGTTATTTAAGAACACTTGTACCAATTATACATGTGTACCTACTAACACAAAGTGTTTACTACCATACCTTTATTTTTAATTCATTGCCATACCAGCAATAGAAGAATATTTCTGTTAACATGCAAGATATATATAATATCATCTCAATATATTTAGCTTTTGTTGTTGCTATACTTAATTGATAAAGACTAAAGCACACCACCAATGTACTTGTTATGAATTGGATAGCAATAGTTAGTCTAAATTTCGCATTTACAATAAACGCAAGTCTAAAATTTAACAATTTTTTCATTTAATAAAATATTGTAATGTTATAAAAAAAAACGAATAATAAATTAGTATTAAAATTTGTTTTAATATTTTTAAAAATGTAGTAAAATTTACCTAAAGATATGATAATGTTGATGTACGCAATCGCGAAGTACATTTGAATAAGATACAATATTTTTCAAACGATAAGTTAATATCTCAATTTGACAGCAAATGTGGACCAATAATCCACAGATGAGAGTATCGCAACCAATATTTAGAAATCCTCCGGCAATTAAACATATCAATTGGTGAGTATATATCAGATAAAACAATAATGTTGACGAATAATCAAATGGCAACCATGCTCTATACGTTAATTTTCCGTTTCTGAAGTTCACAGATAAAGATGTCAATACGACACACAAACATGTTACTGTTCCCAGACATATAAAACGTCGAGTATTAATTCTAAAATAATAGCATAACTCTTAAATTAATATTGAGAAGCCATTATGTGGCGTTTTGTTCCAAAGAATAGCTTAGCAAAAAGCCATTATACTTGATACGTAGTAGCCAGAGAATAAACATATTAAATTTGTTGGAATAATAAAAAAAAGTATTATAAATTATGTGAAAAATCTAGATGTAAAAGATAACTTTTCAGTACATTTCAATAATTTTCTTGTATTTGTTAATACTTACTGTATGCTTTTATCGAATTTATATAGAATCTCCATTTCAGACGATCTGGACGGTCTACAAGGTTCTTTCATTAGAATGCCTATCAACATAATAATATTTTTGCGATTCATCAATAAAATGAGCAATTTACAACAAGAAATGAACATGGCAATTAATATAAAGAAATTTTCGGAAAAATCATCGGCGTTGTTTACAGTTAGAATTACATCCATCAGTTGCGATAGCACAAAGGTATTTAGTATTATAATTATTATACTGGTATACATGTAGTATGCTATACGTTTATGTAATGACGACCAAGAATCCGGTCGCCAGCATCCAAATATCGTTAAAAGTTTGAAATTAAGCTTAAGAATGCGCATTTTTTAAAATATTCTTCTTTGATATTATTTGCGAAGTACACAATTAATTAATGTATATTTTTTGTAACGTACAATATTATTAATTATATTAAATGTATTTATAAAATAATTGAATTTTTATCAATTAAAAATTTTTCATAGTTTTATTCTTGAAGTTTAATAATTATTTTCTTATTTTTTGATATTTACAAAATGTTTATATCTTTTACATTTACTGAATAACTGAAACAATTCTCTGATTAACCTAATAGTAATAAATAAAAGTATTGTGTATTTTAAGAGATTCAAATCAGTAAAATTCAATTATAACGAAAGTAATTTATAATATACTTTATACATATCTTCATATATATAGATATTTTATATTTTATATTTTATACTTTATATGTAAGTAATCACGATCAATAAGTATAGCACAGAACAAAATCTTTAGAATGACTGATCAAGTTAGCAGTCTATAACTTTACAGATCGAATATTTTAAATATGGAAGTCTAGTATTCACATTTCACTTCATAATATTACCCCACTCGGTATATCTTTATTATGTATTTTACAATGTATCTCTCACAATATAACTTTCATGAAATAACTCTTTCATGGCTTGATATGCATTATTCAAAGTTCACATACTGTATATTGACAATATTGCATGATTATATATCTACAGAAGCAACAATGTTTTTTAGAGACGAAATAGAGAAAATACAAGACAGAATTGTAAATTATTAAATAGATAATTGTTAACTCATTTATATTTTGTAATATTATAGACATATTATATTTCCACGACATTTAAGTTTTAGACATTTGAATTTCCTATAAGAGCCAAATTTTTCTATTGTTAGTAGATTGATCATTTTATCGCCATCTTTGATGCCAAGTAATGTTCTCAAAGACTATCATTCTATGTCTACCTAATACTTACACGTATGTAAGTACATATTTATATACAGTCATTTGATACACTCATTGTCAGTAGTATACTTATAGGACGTATGCGGCATACATGTATGTACATAGACAGTTTACATAGTATAAATAAAGACTTTTTTAGTATCACTTTTGTCTTTCTGTCACAAGTAAAGTAATAAAATCTAGTTGTAGAATTCTGTGTTACTAATGTTATTAATATTTCTAATCTAGAATATACATAGGATTTTATTAGAATTATTTGTTATATGTTAAAATCACTTTATTAATTCTACAAATACATTATTAACTACAAATATATCTTTGCAAATTAAAAAAAACATTACTAATTCAACTATAAATAAATCTAAATAAATCTATATAGTTAAATTATAATATTCCTTTTTTATCTTAAAAATTAATTTTATTGGTCGTTATCATAATATTTTTAATAGTTATCGTATAAATAATTCGTTTTTCATACTAATTTTTAAAAATGATATTTTCTGATTTCTGTTATAAGATGGTTTCATTATATTACATTCCCGATGTAAACAGTACAAAAAGGAACATACTCAAGAAATTACAAAATAGATATTGATAAACGTAAAAGTAATAAGAAATGGAATAAATTGTGCATTAAGATAATCTATATTTATTTTCTATAATAATGTAATGTAAACGTCAATTATGAAGACTAATTATTAATATACCTTTTCCCTTTTCTCCTTATTATAATATATTAATCGATTATTTCTCTATTTGTTGAAGTAAGTTATAAGTAGAATATGACATCTTAAGTATCTAAAATTAATGTATGCATAATTATAATCGTAAATTAAAATATGTTTAATAATTGATAAATTTCCAAATTTTTTACTTTGCCAGTAATAATATTAGATACATTAAATTGTAATATTAAATTTATTAAATTATTTCAAATATATTTAATAAACAAATTATAGGTATAACACTTTAATCTGTAACACAAAATTTTATTAAATATTTTAATAATATAATGTATCTATTATTATAATACTCCGCTTAAATTCAAACCAATTTTTAATTGTACTGTCAAAAAATGTGTTAGCAAAATCAACTTTTAATATCTGTACTAACGTTCATAAAGGAATCGAGATTCATAGGAATAACATAAGCGCAATTAATCTGAATAGGCACAAGTGCTCGCATCATCATAATGATTAAAGACTTCTTTATATTATTATCTAATGTCAGCCATTCCATTTCGAAAATATCATCGATGATCTGATAACTCTACGAAAATATGTAAGATAACGCATCTCTATAAAAAGCATTTGAATAGGAAATGAAAGATGCTTATGTTAGTAATATGCTTTAAAGTATTCATATACTTAATACATGTAATAAAAAATATTTATTTAATTTTGTAACAAAAAATAAACTAATTAGATTTAGATATATTAGATTTAAATATTAGATTTATAGACATTATTTAAAATTATAATTATCTGTTGAGATGTTACAATTATTGTATTCTTTGATTAAACAAAAGTCTGAATATGTACATTTTGCCTTTGTATTTCATATTATATTGTATTTATAGCCTGTAAATTACCTTTATCTTTACTTCGTTACCATACCAACAATAGAAAAAAATTTGCGTCAATACGCAAATTATAATTAATATGAACTGAATAAAACTAGCTTTTACTGTTGTTTTACTAATTTGATAAAGGCTCAAGCATATCATCATTGTACTTAATATTATTTGAATAGCAATAGTCACTCTGAATTTTTCATTTACAAGTAAAGCAAATCTAAAATTCAACAAATTTGCATACATATTTAAATACATATTTTATGCATATTTCAATAGAATATATTAAAAATAACGAAGTTATATATAATATATCTGTTAATTGTAATTTCTTACTCATCAATATAACTGTAAGATAATTCATATGTTATATCACAGTTATATTGCTGAATAGGAAATTATAATTAACAGGTATTGTAACGTGTAACTTTGTATGTTTGCTGAGATATTTTTATAATATTTATATTCTTATAATATTTATATACTAATAAACTAATTATTTAAATAACATTATATTTATATGTATAATAAGAATTTGCAAAATCTAAAATTACAAAATTTAACCTGAAGATATGGTAATGTTGATGTAAGCAAATACGAAGAACATCTGAACAAAATATAATGTTTCTCAGGCGATAAGTCAAAATCTCAATTTGACAGCAAATATGGACTAATAATCCACAGATGAGAGTATCGCAACCAATATTTACAAACATTGAGATAGTCATGCTTAGCATTTGATGAGCAGATGTCAGATAAAAAAGTATTGTCGATGAGTAATAATTATATGGCAACCACGCTTTGTACATTAATTTTCTATTTCTGAAGTTTATGTATAAAGAAGATGATGCGATCCACAACATTGTTACTATATTTTTTATTATTTTATATTTATATCTCTTTTTTCATAAACTCACCAAACACTTTATTTTTAATGATATTCTTTAATATATGATCTAATCCATTTTAAATATTACATTAATTATGTAAATATTATAAGTAATATAAAATAAATTTTTATAATTTTAATAATATTAAATAAAACATATATATAAACACAATATTATGATATTGTTTGCAAATACTTACTGTACACTTTTATCAAAATTGTTCAAAATCTCCATTTCTGTCGAGTTCGACGGTCTGTGTAGTTTCTGTTTCAATATATTGATTAACATAATAATGTTTTTACGATTCATCAACAAAATGAACACTTTACAACAAGAAATAAAGCTCGCGATTGGTGGAAAGAAATTATCAAGAAAATCTTCCCCGTTATATATGGTCCAGATTGTATCTATTAATATCGATAGCATAAAAGTATTTACTATTAGAATTATTATACTTGTATATACGTAATATGTGATGCGTTTATATAGCGATGACCAGGAATTTGGTCGCCAGCACCCAAATATCATTAAAAGATTAAAAGTATATTTAAGAATGTACATTTTGGAAAATTATTTTCTTTAATATCACCTGTGAAAAACACACAACACTCATAATTAATTAAAAATGTTATATAACTTATAATATTACTAATTGTATAATTATGTACCCGAAGTGCAATTTGAAATTTCGTCAATTCAAAATTCACATAATACTTTTCATTTTGACTTTTTCATTATCATATGAACTTAATAAACATTTCGTTTTTTATTACTTATAAATGTTATTTGTATTTTAATGTGTTTATCATAAATTCTCTAATTATTCTAACAATTATAAACAAACATTTTATACCTAGGTCTTGTACAAAAGATAAATTAAATTATTATAAAGAAAAAGTACTTTGAATGAAACTGGTAAGTATAATAGACATGCAACAAAGTTCTTAGAATGATTGATAAATATCTCTCTACAGTCTATGACTTTACTCGTTTCCTAGATGTAGAACATTGTCGTAGTTATTCCATTATTCATTTTTCAACGTATCTCTCATAATACAATATATTCCTCGTGAAATAATTTTTCACGACATATGGCGTGCAATACATATACATACAGATAGTAACAAAAAAGTCACATACATAATATATAATATAATTTTGGCTTTAAATGTAACAAAGAGGTGAAGTAGAAGAAATACGAAGTAGAATAATAAAATATTGAACAGATAATTATAACCTGCCGTTATGAGATATCAATACCAGCACGTTATATTTCTGTAACATTTAAGCTTCTCAGATATTTAACTCTTTTCTATAAAATTCAGATTTCTCTGTAGCTATTAATGTTATCGATATTTCTAAAATATTTGTAGTGCTGTTCAATCTCCTTTCCTTTTTCTAATTTTCTTTTAGTCATAGCACCATAATATCGAAACCGTATATCCATTATACAAATACGTATATATTTAGCAATGACATTAGTAATGACAATAAGAAGAGCTACGAGTAAAAATAATTTTTTAATAAAAACAATAGATTTACAAACGTTTCGACATCGATCATTATTAATCTCAAATAAAAATTAAAAAAGCTGGTAAAAACAAATATATTTTGCAGGTAAGAAAAAGATTGTTAGTAGATATTATAATAATATAACAGTAGTAATATATGAGAAGTAGATTATAAATTGAAGAGTATATTTATTTAAACAGTAAATTAGATAATTTTTTTAAGTTAATTTAATAAATATGTAAATTAGACATACAATATAGGCAAAAATATAATTTTGTAATATTAAACTATATATATAATAATGTCATTTCTTTCTCTCTCGCTCACGTCGAAACACGATTATAATGAGAATAAATAATTTTTTTTATTCTTTCAACTTACAAAAACTACATTTATATAAAAATCAGCGCTAATTATAATGTTCTGTTTAATTGGTTTTGTTTGTGTTATTATCACTTAAAATGATTTGAATGCAAATAATAGTGTGAAAATAAATTATTGGAATTACTATTTATATTGTGTCATTTTCTATTATATTTGTTGCAAAATATTGTAAGCTGAATACGATGTTTTAAGCAACTGCAAAAAATAAATATTCCAAATAAATAAAGATTAAAAACTTAAGAGTTAGAAGTTATTTAGAAAAAGCAACAAACTGAAAAGATTTTCGATATAAAAGAATTTATTTTATTTTATATTCAAATAAATTTATACATATTACGAAATTTAAATTATTTTAAACTTAATTGATTCTGCGATAATAGCAAGGCGTTTTATACTAACACCCACGAAAGAATCAAGATTCATCGAAATAATATAGGCGCTGGTGAATTCAATAGGCACTGTACTACGTCTCATAATTAATAATAAAGTTTTCTTTACATTTTGATCTAATATATACCATTCCATGTAAAAAATATTATTGATAAGTTGTCGGCTCTATTTTAATCACAGAATAAAAATTAAAATACACACATATAAATTAATGATATCAATTATACGTATAGTATATTTATGTGTATTATTTCAAAAATCGCATACCTTTAATTTTACCTCATTTCCATACCAGCAATAAAAAAAGATTTGCGTCAGCATACTGCACATGTATAATACCAGCTGAACATACTTTGCATTCGTTGTAGTCGACCTAGTTAATTGATATAGGTTGAAACACACTACCAATGTGCTAACCATAAACTGAATAGTAATAGTAAACCTAAATTTTTGATTGACCGTGATAGCAAAGCTGCAATTAAACGCAATTAATTATTTCAATATTTGCGAGTACAAATGATACGCATTGATATCTTCATTAACACACGCAATGTTAATATTTCTATCGCGTGCATTAACTATATTATATATAAATAACTGTATCACACATAACTGTATTATATATAAATACAAACTCGAAAATACGACTGTGTTGTAGAATGCACTCAGAAAGAATACGAGGATCATGTGCTATTCTCCTCAAACGAGATTCCAATATTTTGATCTGGCAGCAAATGTGTACTAATAGTCCACAAATCAGGCCATCGCAAGCAACATGAAGGACAGATCCAATTATTAAACTTATTAATTGATGAGCATATGTTATGTGAAATAAAATTGGCGATGAATAATCATATGGTAACCAAGCTCTGAATGTCAATGTCCGTCTTCTAAAGTCCGTAAGTAACGACGTTAACGTAATGCATACGCAAGTCGTTTCAACCAGAATTGCATAATGTATTGTGTTTGCTCTACAAAATAACTGTAGACATTGTTACGTTTTGTAATTTTTTATAATTCAGTGTCTTATATTTAATATCAATTTTCTTATTTTCTCCTAACGTATGGTAAATATAACTCTAATAATAATAATATTGCATTTTATGTTAATATGTAAAGATATAAAAAACATGACTGTCTTAATAAGAAACATTTAAATCTTAAATTTTTCAGTTCAATTACATGTTTCATATAATTAAGCAATTAATTTTAATAATAAAAACAGGATATCTTATTTTAAGTCAGTGATACAGAGTTGACTATATTTTAAAAATGAAGTATTTTTCAGAAAAATATTTCATATAAATATTGTATATGGTTTGAAGGAAAATAAATAATAGTAAAATCAATAGTTTAAAAATCAATTTTTCTAGTTTACATAAAAATTAGTGTCATTTTTTACTCAAATTGTCTGATTTTTTATGTAATATGATTTTTCTAGTTATTCTGCGTATAACAGTATTAAAGTAGAGTTATTAAAAAATTATCATAATATTATAGTTTTCGACATACTTTATATCTCCCTTCAAACTATATCTATTATACAATTTTGTCTAAATAGTTCTTTTTTTTCCCGAAAATATTTCTTTTTTAATATAAAATTAAAATAAAAACACTCTGTATAACTTTTTACATTTTTCAGAAAACTTACTGTACGCCTTTATCAAATTTGTTGTGAATTTCTATTTCTTCTGGTTCCAATGGTCTACACGGTCTTTCCTTTAGAATGTTTGTTAATAAAGCAATATTTTTGCGATTTACCAACATACTGAGCATTTTACAACAAGATACAATCATTGCAAGTAACATGTAGAAATTATCAGTGAAATCGTCCGCATTATCCACAGTAAGAATAATATCCAGTAATTGTGATAAAGTAAACGTATTTATTAACACAAGCACGAAAAATGTGTGCATATGGTAAATTACACGTTTACACGACGATGTCCACGAATCCGGTCGCCAGCAACCACAAATAATTAGAAATTTAAAAGTCGAATTTAATACTCGCATTTTAATATTATATTTCTCAGTATAATTGACACCGTATAATTATACACCATGAAAATTAAATGATAACAAAAGTTTACATACACTTTTTACGTATTTTTCACATTTTTCTTTAATCATAGAAAATTTTAGATACGTATTGACTAAAAAAAAAATGAATAATTAATTTTCTCAGATATCTTTATAAAAGCAAATACGAAAAAACTGTCAAATAAAACTCTAAGTTGTAATAAAATTGCTTGTACGAATATTAATCTAATGTGCGACAAACTCTTTAGAAGGATAATTATAGAATGTCTATAGATTTGCGAATTTCTAGCTAAGATCCTCGTCTAGCTCGTCCCTCCTTATACGATAGTTTTTAATATTTAATTTGTAACCACGTCCCTCTCTCACATACAACACAAATGTTAAACACAGACTTTATCTGATGGTAGTACATTATATTCATGCTTTCAAAATAAATTATATGTTAGAAACCGCTGTATAAGGGAAAAAGATGACAACCCTCGAATGTCACATAAGCGATCTGTATATCTGTACGCCGCATGAAGTACTGACATTGGTAACTCCCACATTTCTACTAGGAAATATTTAATATTCTAGAAAATATTACTTCTGTAATACTTGGAAATAATAAAAATACTAATCTATTCGAATAATTTCAAAGGCAACAGATTTTCTTTCCCTGTTTAATCCTTGAGTGTGTGTGTGTGTGTATGTGTGTGTGTGTGTGTGTGTGTGTGTGTGTGTGTGTGTGTGTGTGTGTGTGTGTGTGTGTGTTACTAGAATTTATAATTTAACACATATGTACGTATGCAATCTCTAATAATATAATTATTTATATAATGTAAGTAAAATCCGCATGTCAAAAAAAGTTATAATAAAAATTATGGTACACAAATATTTTAATTTTTTTTGTTTATATATATAATATATGATATCAATAATACAAGAATTAATTATCAGTATTAAATAAAATTTTATATGATATATGTATATATGTGGTATTCATATTCATACATTTGTGACATAAATTCATAATGCGTTGATATGTCACCGATATTTTTGCTACATATATCCAACATTATGAGCTTTGTGTTTGCTTAAGTATATTGTAAGCCGAGTACGATGTCTTGAGCAACTACAACAGAAATTATTACCAACATTATTTTAAATAAGTTATTATATGTGAATATATGTAATTGCTTATTTTTAATTTATAATTAATATATGGTAATTATAATAAATTCTTTTTGTTAAATATACTAAATATTTAAATTACTATTAATACAGATATCTATTTTAATTTGATGTTTTTTTTATTAACAAAGAGAAAGAACTTTTAGTATTAAAACTTTATTTAATTTAACGGTTTCTATTTAATCATATATAATGACACATTACTAACACCCACAAACGAATCCAGATTCATAGAAATAACGCAGGCACTAGTAAATTCAATTGGTACTACAGCACGTCTTATGATCATTAGTAAAGTTTTCTGAGCAGTTTCATTGAATTTGAACCATTCCATCTCGAATACATTATTTATCAACTGTCGACTCTATATTTCAACAATCAAAAAAAAAGAAAATGTTCACATTTATTTTATTTATATATTAAATAATTAAAAAATATATTTATATTTTAAAAGTCCAACATACTCTCAATTTAACTTCGTTTCCGTACCAACAATAGAAAAAAATTTGTGACAACATAGAACATGTATACATTATTAACTGCATATATTTTGTTCTTAACGCTGTTGACTTGGTAAATTGATATAGATTAAAGCACATCACCAACGTACTCACAACAAACTGGATAAATATAGTTATCCTAAATTTTTCATTTACTGTACGAGCAAACCTAGAATTAATGAAAATTAATATTGCAACTTTTATATTGATAAAATATATACAGGGTGTTCCGCAAATCGTGATACAACCAGGAAGGAGATGATTCTACAAAAAAATAAAGTGAAAACATAAAATTTGTTCTTACTTCGACAATTTTTAAAGTAATAATTCATTATGCATGAATATTCTATTTTAATATACGTGTGTATATTCTTCATTATCTAATAATACAATAAACACATGGACAAATATGGTAATTTATAGTGAGATTTGTTAAGTCAAGATACATATAATATTTAAAATCGATTTTCTCAAAAATAAAGTCACACATATAATAAAATTTTATTAAACGCTTCTTTTTTATATAGAGTCTCTTTCCGATTGTAGGATAAACAGTAACGAGAGGAAAAGTAACAGAATACAGTTATAATAACGTGAATATTTCTAAAGAATCTATAATAAATAGAATATGTATGTGTGTGTGTGTATGGGGATGAAGTGACCGTGAATGTGAAATAAAATCTGTTAAGTCAGTACGCATATATGTATACTATGTACGAGTAAAAATTTAAAAAAGTTAAAAAAAAAGTTTTTTAATAATTCTCAAATAAGTTTTATTGCATACAAAAAATTTGAAGTATTTTTCTTTTTATATAACAATCATATAACTAATTATGTTGTAATATAATTTAATAATTGATATCTAATCGATAATTTGTATATTTTAATTGACTTTCAATTCTATATAGGTGTTCATTTAAAAAATTTACTAAAAATCACAAAATATCATTAGAGACTAATAGTAACATCAATGTTTAAGAACAATTAATTGTAAATTAAACCAAATTTTATAGTAAAATAAATTCTAAAAAAATACAGATCTTTGTTATAAATTTTAATTGTTAACTGTTATAAATTTTAAAATCAAAATGTTTCTTTTGTTCCCAATACGTCTCCCTTACCACGTTTTCTGGAACATCGATATAACATTAAAGATAATTAAAAAATCATGTTTACGAGGATTATATTTTTCAATTGAAAAATATACCTATATCAATTAAAATTACATGACATATATACGAGGAGTTCGAACAATTCTCAATCTGACATCGTAGCAACAATCTGACTCAGACGGCACAAATAATAATTTCAGACAAGTTTGATCATGCACAGAGCTGTTAAAATTTCAGATAGATGCGTTTATTAGTTTTTATTGATTAATATTGTTAAATAAGTAAAATGAAAGAAGATTATGTTGAAAAATAAAAATTTTTGCCAAAAATCATATATTTTCTTTATCAAATCGAAAACTTTTCGAACTATTTTTGTAACTTGGTAAGAAATGTCTCTCTAACACAATATATATAATTTAAAAAAATAATCTTTAAAAATTCTAATTTCTAAATAATACTAAAAAATCAGTGCTATACACCGTACATCTTAATAATAAAAATACATTTATTTTCAGCGTAATTGGAAACAAACTTGAATATGTGATTGTGCTGAAGAACACATTCGCGAAGAATGTTAGGATTGTGTACACTTTTCCTCAGACGATGTTCCAATATCTCTATCTGACAGCAAATGTGCACCAGAAATCCACATATGAGACTATCACAAGCCACATGATGTACAGATCCCATTGTAAAACTTATCAATTGATGAGCGTATGCAAATGGAAAAAGTTGCGGTGAGGAATAATCGAATGGCAGCCACGCTCGGAACGTCAAATTTCCTTTCCTGAATTCCGTCAATAATGATGTCACGGCAACAGACAGACACGTTGTTTCGACCAGGATAGTATAGTGAAGCGTATTTGACCTGTAAAACGACTACAGACGTTTTCGCGTTTCACTTTTTATTCAGTATTTTCATCAGTTACATTATTTCTTTCAAGTTGAACCGTTACGTCAGATTTATTTGTTCATTTAAATAAAAGGCGATCTTAATTGCATAATAGTGCATAACTAATTTATTTTAATTACATAGAGCATTGAAGTTGATGCTAGCTCGCGATGCTTACTGTATGAGTTTTTCGAATTTTTGTCGAATCTTCATCTCATCAGGTTCAACCGGTCGAAATGGTTTTCTCATAAGAGTTTTGATTAACATCTCAATGTTGCTGCGATTCATCAACAGAGCGAGCATCTTACAGCAAGAAACGATCATAGCGAGTAGCACGTAGAAGTTATCGGTGAAATCATTGGAATTATCCACGATCATAATAAGATCCATCAATTGCGATAGCATAAACGTGTGTATTAGTAACATTACGAAAATAGTATATACATGATAAACTAACCGTTTGTATGGAGTCGACCAAGAATCCAATCGTCCACAACCGCAAATCATCATTATTTTGAACGTAAAGGCTAGTATAAACATTTTTAATATCTTCTATTATCTTCTTTGATGTTATATATTAACCTCTCCTTTATGAAAACAATTATAATAAATTATTTATTATATATATGTATATATAATATATATATATATATATATATATATATATAATAATAATATTTACATGTGTAAATTAATAACTAAATTACATCTTGAAAGACAATTTTTTATATTATTTGACATGAGATAATATTGTAAGAAAATTCATATTATGAGAAAAATTATTTTGCGATATAATTTGATACACAATAAAATCTTACAGTAAACTAACTGAAGTCATCAAGTGTTGTCTATAGCTTCACTATCTTCGTGCAATATAATACAGCTTACCCAACTATTCTCTTTGACAACTTTTATTATTCAGATTGCAATTGTGTTCTTCACATAATACTATTTTCATACACTCGGCTAAACACAGACTTGATAATATTAAGATATTATGACATAATAATACTTCATGAGGACTATGTTTTGTGATATTGCATGTTAGAAAACAGAACGGAGGAATAAAAAATAATAACCCTCGAATGTCGAGTCCAGCTCTCCCTACTTACTCTTCATAAAATATTAACATCGATACACTCTCGCATATACTTCAACCAAAAACTATTTAATTCATGAAGGCGTAAATTTGCCATATTGTGATGTGAATGACAAATTTTTCTTTCATGTATTGATTTCTGCTGTCTTCTGATTTTTGATAGTTTATGTATAGTGTATAATGTGTGCATACGTATGTACATATAGTAACATATGATTCAAATCCATAAGAATATATTTCGAGTGCGCAAATAAAAACAATATCATATAATCAATTGTAGTAAACATTCTAATATGATATATAATTAATGTAAATTCTAAATTTCTCTTTAAAAATATCTCTCTATTCAAATGCCGTAATAGATAGATAATATTAAAAAAATTATATTATCATTGCCAAATAAAATCATTTAATGTAATTGATATTTTTGCATACATAAGAGAGTAATGCAAATTCGTATTATAGTAATCACCTTAATACCGATTTTTGCATGAAAGATGACAAAATAAAGTACAATTCTTCTTCTACTTTGTTTTTGCCGCTCTTATATTTGTTTCAGGACGTTGTAAGCTGAATACGATGTCTTGAGTAACTGCAATTATAAGGTTATTATTATTCATGTTATTTATAAAAAAAAAATTATATATACATATAACCAACATTATTAATTGTATTAAAACTATTACAAAATTACTTGTAATTTATCATTTTTGTATTTTTTTTTACCTATGTAAATAGGTCAAGTATATTTAGTGCATTGTATCGTATGCTCTTGATATAAATAACATTTAATTCTATTTTTAACTGAATAATGTTTCTTTGAAAAATTTTAATAGAAATAGATCTAACATTAAATTAAATGCTTTACTTATAAATCTTATAATTAAACTATTAATTACAAGTCACAATAAATTTTAATACCAACGCCCACAAATGAATCTAGATTCATCGAGATAACATAAGCACTGGTAAGCTCGATTGGTCTTGAACTTCGTCTCATAATCATTATTAAAGATTGTTTAGTTTGTTTGTTTAATCCAAACCACTCCATTTCAAATATGCTATTAACCAATTGACGACTCTATTTAACGAAACTTCTTATTTATTTTGTTTACACGCAATATATAGTACTAAATATTCACGTAACATATACATATTTCACATATACATACCTTTAACATAACTTCATTACCATACCAGCAATAGAAAAAGATTTGTGACAGCATGCAGCCCATATACATCATTAATAGCATATACTGTGCTCTTGACGTTGTTGATTTGGTAAATTGATAAAGAATAAAACATACTACTAATGTACTCACAACAAATTGTATAACAATAGTCAATCTGAATTTTGCATTCATTAGACGAGCAAACCTAAAATTCAAATTAAATACTGTAACTCTCTTAATTAGTTAAATATAACATGAAATATTTTCAAGCCTAATAAGAATTATTATAAAATAATATAATATAAATAATGTACTGTAAAAGAAGTAAATAATACAGTATTGCCAGAAGTGTGAAGACTTTCTTACCCGTATGAAGCTGGCCCCCCAATATTAAAAAATCAATTTTTTTCTTTATGCATTCGTTTGCTCATCATTCGCTCACGAATGCTCAGTTGGAATTTTCGTTTGCTCACCCTTAGTTCAAAAGATACAAGAAAATTAAGTTTTGGTATCGAATTAAAAAATCATTTTCTTTTAGCATTCGTTTGCTCATCGTTTACTCACAAATCTTTTGAACTAAGGGTGAGCAAACGAAAATTTCAACTGATCATTCGTAAGCAAACGATGAGCAAACGAATGCATGAAGAAAAAAATCGATTTTTTTATTATTGGGGGGCTAGTGTGAAGTTAACCCCCAAAACATAATTTTCGTATATCTTTTGAACTAAGGGTGAACGAACGAAAATTCCAACTGACCATTCGTGAGCAAACAATGAGCAAACAAATGCATGAAGAAAAAAATCGATTTTTTAATATTGGGGGGCCAGCTCCACACGGATGACTTTCTTTAAGTAATGTAATTAATAATACACTGTAATGTATCAGGATAGATTTAAAATATTTATATATGTAATATTAGTTAATAAACCAACTTGAATATATGATTATGCTGTAGGACGGATTCGCGAAGACGATCTTGATTATGTGCGATTTTTCGCAAACGGCATTCAATTATTTCTATCTGGCAACAAATGTGCACTAGTAATCCACATATCAAACCGTCACAAGCAACATGCAAAACAGACCCGACTGTCAAACTTATTAATTGATGCGCGTATACAATACGAAACAGTGACGATGAGGAATAGTCGAATGGCAACCATGCCCTGAATGTTAATCTTCCTTTTCTGAATTCTGTAAACAACGACTTCGCAGCAATGTACAGACACGTTGATTCAACCCAAATTGCATAGAAAAGCGTGTTTGTCCTGCAAGATGTCTACCTATAGAGATTTTTCCGCTTTATTTTTTATTTATGATTTTTACTTAAACCTTAATTACGCAACTTGAAATATTTCTTTCCAACTATATATAATTGGTATCTGTAATATCAAAACGTATGTGTGGACCGTATTTGAAAAAATAATAAATTTTATGATATACCCAAAAATTATAAAAATTATTATGATCATTAGAATCTCAGTTATAATCACACATGTAGAACGTATAAATTATTTAAATACTTTAAATATTTAAATATTCTAGAAAATTAAATGCTTTTTAATTTAAATGCTAAAAATTAGTTAAATATTAATTAAATTGTATTGTACGTACCAAGCAAATGTATTTTTACTAATAAAAAAGTTATATAAGCAATACAAATAAAATTTTGAAAATATTAGAAAAAAAGTCGAGTATAACATATTAAAAAATTGTTAAGTATTAAACATAATATGCATGTTTACTAAAAAAAATTGTTCAAAAGAATTGTCGTACAATAGTACTCACTGTACGTGTTTATCAAATTTCTGCTGAATTTTGATTTCATCAGATTGGACCGGTTTACAGGGTTTCTTTACAAGAATATCAATTAACATCGCAATGTTACTGCGATTCATCAACAGAGTGAACATCTTACAACAGGAAACAATCATTGCGAGTAGCATGTAAAAATTATCAGTAAAATCGTCGGGATTGTCCACGGTTAAAATTAAATCCATCAATTGCGATAACATAAATGTATGTATAAGTAGCAATATCAAAATCGTGTATACATGATAAACTAACCGTTTGTATGGTGTCGTGCAGGAATCTGGTATCCAGCATCCGCAAATCGTTAATATTCTAAACGTAAGATCTAATATTTGCATTTTTAATTTCCAACAATTTATCTCTGTCGAAAATATTGTATCAATATCTGTTCTCCAAATAAAGCGTATATTCGTAAATCATTTTTTAGAGATTGTGTGATATTCTTTATTTCTCTATTTTAAATATTGAAACGTGTGTGAAATTCGAAGTATACATACATCTTGCAATATATATAATAATTACTTTAAAATATGCTCAAAGATGCTCGTATGCAACAATAAATTGATAGCTTAATTTTAATTTGACGATTTCCATTACTTCAAGATATTGTTATAATAAAAATATTTTTTTAGAAAATATGGTGCACAGTAAGCTCTTGAGGGAGACTGACGATCGTACCTTCATACGTCTATAGCCTTACGGTCTTCCTAATGATAATATGCTTTGCTTAACTCCTCCCCTTCATATGTGTTGTGCGACAATTTTTATTATTCAAAGATTGCTATGCCCTTCAGATAATAATATTTTCATGCATCCCACCCATTCCATCTGTCCTGTGCAGTTTTTTTCTGATAGTAGAGGATATAGTATATTATATCTTGACATAATAGTACTTCCTGAGAAATAAAATATTAGAAAGAAGAGCGGAAAAACAAAAAATCGAGAAATAATTTATTGAATCGAAATGTAACTGGTAATTTAAATTTAATGGTTTATATTGATTTTTGTGACATTAAATTTCTATACTTAAACATTCTATAACTTGCAAATATTGTAAGGGGCCGCACTCTGCACACACACACACATACACACATATATACACACATCATTCCCTTACTTAAAAAGTGTTACTTCAAAAGATAAGTAAATCGCTTTTTCTAATGGTAATATTTTCGATTTTCAATTCTGAAAGAAAACTATCTAGATCTAAATACTTATCATTCCAGATTCGGGTTACATGCAAAAAAAGTAAGAAACTTTTATCTTGACAATTTTTTTCTAAAAATGCCTCCGTTGGTCTTGGAATAAAAGTAAGTAATGAAAAAATTAACTGTTCTTGACGTAACCCATAACAACCACATGTAATAACTATATACATATATACATACTACTGCATGTAATGTAATATTTTTGAAATTTTTCATAAAAATCTTCCTGTCATTTTAAAGAAGGTGTTTGAAACACACCGTATATCTAATACAAACAATATGCATTTTTAATTATGTTTCTTTTCTCTAATAACGTTAATATATCAAAATTAATTATGTGAAAATTAATTATATATATGATAATCAACTATTAATACTGAATGAATTTCTAATTTTATTTTCATGAAAAATCTATATAATATATATGTATAATAACAAATATGTAAAACAATTTTCCTAGTTAGCTTTGTCAATTTGCGTTTGCTGAAGTATATTGTAGGTCGAATACGATGTCTTAAGCAACTGCAACATACAAAGTTATTTTCTGTTTCAATAAGTTCAAAATTTATCTAATAATAATTTAACATTTATACTTTAAAAATAAATGGACATCTTTTAATTACCGTAAAATAATTATCATAATACAAAAATTAATTATTTATATACTAACACCCACAAATGAATCCAAATTCATAGGTATAACATAAGCGCTACTGAATTCGATTGGCATTTTACCGCGTAATGCGATTGTTAATAAATCCTTTTTTGTATCTCGCTCTAATGTAAGCCATTCTATGTCAAATAGATCATTGACTAATCGTAAACTCTACTTATGAAAATAAGACATTTATGTATTAAGGTTTTAATTATAACAAAAAAAGGTTTAATTATAGTACATTGCATATAAATTTTTGTGCACATTAAAAAACATTTTGCATTTTAAATAAAAATAAAAAGTTAATAAATAAAAACTGAATTAGAAAAAACATTAATAATATACATATAAGGATATCCATTCTAAAAAAACTGCATACCTTCAACTTTACTTCATTTGCATACCAACAATACAAAAAGATTTGTGTCAGCATACATGACATGTACATTCCTAATTCAACAAATTTTCCACTAGTCTTGGTCAGCTGATATAAAGTAAAGCACACTACTAATGTACTTACTATGAACTGAAAAGTGATAGTAAATCTAAATTTTTTGTTCAATAAAAAAGCAAATCTGAAATCAATTGAACACATTTTAACATATCTCTCTCTTATGATATTATTGATAGAAATATTAAAAAATATAATAATTAAAAAGTTACAATGTATAAAAATATATCTTTGATTTGCGTTATACATATAAATTAAAAATTTTAAAAATATTTAAAAATATGTTAAATAAAAATATTGTTTAGAGAGATGAAAAGATATTTTTAAAAATTGCTTATGTATATATTATATAAAAAGATTTAGGAAAAACTATAATAAAACGAACTTAAATAAAAGGTTATGTTGAATAACACAGTCGCGAAGTACTTTTGGATTGTGTACAATATTTTTCAAACGACAACTTAATATTTCTAGTTGACAACATATATGCAACAATAATCCACAAATAAGACCATCGCAAGCAACATGTAAGACAGATCCAACTGTTAAACTTATTAATTGATGAAAATACGTAAAATGGAAAAGCGTTGTCGAGGAGTAATCAAATGGCAGCCACGCTCTGAATGTTAACTTTTCCTTTCTGTAATCCGTGAGCAAAGATGCTACAGCCGTGGATGCGCACGTTAATTCAACTAGGATCATATAATACAGAGTATTTGTCCTGTAAAACAGCTGCATGCATTTCATTTTGATATTCAACGATTTCTTTAATGATAATCTCTCTCTAATACTTTTTATCAACATAAATTCTAATTAAATAAATCTGTTAATTTTTCAAATTAGAAAGTTAGTAATACACAACTTCAATTCTTTAAACAATAATTTTGATAAAAAATAATGTATATTAAATATCAATTTCTTTGTTGAACAATGAATATATAAGAAAATTACAAATTTTCTAAAAAGATTTAAAAAATAATACCGATGAAAACTAGTATTGTCTAATAACAAAAATTAATTAATTAAGATTAATTAAGATGTTATTATAAATTTTAATCAAATTTCATATCAATCTTTTAAAAGAACATAAATGGTTTAATTTTTTAATATATAATTAAATATAAAGTATAATACAAAATCATTATCTCGCAATGTACTTACTCAATTAGCTTATCGTATTTGCGTTGTATTTCCACTTCGATTGTATCACACGCTTTACACGGTTTATTGATAAGAATGTTTGTCAGCATAGCAATGTTACTTCGATTTATTAACAGGCTATACATTTTGAAGCAAGAAACGATCATAGCAAGCAACATGTAAAAATTATCCATGAAATCTTCCGAATTGTCAACGATCAAAATTATATCCAAGAATTGCGACAATGTAAATGTATTTATCAATAAAAGTATAAAGATGGTGTATACATGATATATTAATCGTCTATATGGAGTCATCCAAGAATTCGGTACCCAACAACCGCAACTCGATAAAATTTTAAATGTAAATCCTAATACGTTCATTTTAACTGATTTTGTTTATCGTTCTACTTTAAAAAGTTATTTCTTATAATAAAAAAATTATTTATCAAAAATGTTACATTCTTTGATTTTTTGAATAAGATATATGTATTTGTGTTACGCGTTATATAATTATTTATGATAAATTAATTTACCAAACAAATTACATGTTACTAAAAATAAATTGTCAATTAATTTCGATAAGAATGTTCATACTACAGTGATGAAAGTCAATATTGGAGTAATATTGCAATGTACAGTGAAATCTTGAGTGACTGACGACCACCAAATGTCTATAGTCTCCCGCAAAAAGACTCTCGCAGTTTTCCGATAATAATACGATATACGTTTAACTTCCTCCTTCATATAAGAATTTTATTATTTAAACTGTAATTGTGCCCTTTGCGTAATATTTTCATGCAGAGACGGTGCAGTCATTAAATAAAGATATGACATTGCATACGAAGTCACAATATAATGATATACGAAAAATACTTTGTTAAAACATGTACAACTATAAGTTCTAATCAAAGTATAATAAATAGAAATTGAAAATTATAAATGCAATGTTCATTACTGAACGTCAAGAAATATAAAATTTACAGTTATATTGTACATCCAGTTGTGTTCTAATCAAATACTTTAATAATATTCTATTACATTACAGACCGCAGTAAACTATAATCTCGCATATATACATGTACATTAACATAAAATAATATGTAGGGTTTATGAATATGTATTAAAAATAAAAATACTGTAGAATAATGTTAAATCAATTTTTTATATAGATATAGCTCCAATAAGCGAGCCTATTAATTGATGAAATGATGGAAGTACAAAGTGAAACTATCGTTGAATAATCAAATGATAAATCGTTTTAAATGTTAACTTTTTTCCAGTGAACCATGAAAACTGTCCAATACAATTTCTCAACCGTATTAATATTAAGGTAATAATATTGTTAATAGAAAAGGTAAGTTGGAAAAATATGTATCAGAAAGATATTACCTAATTAATAGTGTCAATAGGAGAAAATATTGCATAGCGTTTGAAATATCTCTTTATGTATACATAAAAAGATATAGTGATCTAATAATACAATCTTATTTAATACATAAAAATATTGATTACACTAATCAATTACTAAATCAATTAAAACTATTGATTATTAATCTAACTTAAGTTTTACTTTTATACATACAGTTTTTTAGTTTTATACTTTTATACAAAGATTAAAATTCATATAAATTCAAAATATAAATTTTTTTACTATTACCTTTTTACTATTTTGTTATCGCATTTGTTGAAGTATATTGAAAGCAGAATATGACGTCTTGAGCAACTGCAATAAACATAATTATTTGGTTATTACGTATTTTTATATAAATTAATATATTTTTTCCTAATAAAATATACATCATAGAACATTTTTTTATATATAGATTAACTATAACAAATTACATTATATAAAAAACAAAACATATCATTTCATTTAATAAATGGTAATATATAAAAACTTTAAAAAAATTGACTTTTTTCAAAAATTAATTACTATTATTTGTACCATTTTAAATCACGTAACCTTTATTTGAAACATTTATTTTAGATAGGAAAAAAATATTTTGAATACTAATTTTTTAATTTAGTAAGTAAAATTGTATTTTAAAAAAGTTCAGCTCAATGATCCTACCCAAATCGTTTGAAATGCACCCTTCTTTAGCATTAATTTAAAGTTAATCTAATTCCAAATAACTAATTTCAAAAATTAAAAATAAATATTTATACTAACACTGACAAATGATTGAAGATTCATAGAGATAACATAAGCACTGGTAAACTCAATAGGTACGATACCACGCATCATAATTATTGACAAATCTTTTTGTACACGATAATCCATCACAAACCATTCGATTTCAAATATATTGCTAACCAATTGTCGACTCTATATTTAAGAATATACATTAATAATTTTATTTATTGACTTCTGAAATTTTAATTATAAAATAAAATAGAGAGATAATTAAATCTTATTTTTTTGGCAAGTTGATCTATACGTTTATACCATGAACTTATAATATATGGACCGAACATAGACAAGGAAACCATGATGCCAGGATATAAAGTGAGACAGCATGATTCGCACGTACTTTCCCTCTCCATACTAACCAACTAACTTACATGCGCTGCTCATGGACCTATGGCAGCAGAGCATGTTGGTTAGTATGAAGAGTTATCAACTAACTTACATGCGCTGCTCATGGACCTATGGCAGCAGAGCATGTTGGTTAGTATGAAGAGCTGTCTCACTTTATACCCTGACATCACGGTTTCCTTATCTATTCTATAAGCATGTGGTGGGGATGCTCAGTCCATATATTATAGGTCCATGGTTTATACAGGGATGAAAAATATGGTAAAACAAAAAAAAATTGTAACCTAATTCAAAATGTAGGTATTTGTACTTTCTCTCTCACACACACACACACACACACGCACACGCACACGCACACGCACACGCACGCACACACACACACACACACACACACACACATCTTATTTTATATGTGTGAAATATAAGTTAATTTTTGCAATATAATAATTTGACATATCTGTCACGTGCTATTAACGTATTAGATATTAAATTATGTGCAAATATAAATATACAATATGTAGAATTATATGTAAAAATCATATGTGAAAAATATATCCGTGCACACCTTCAACTTAACTTCGTTTCCATACCAGCAATAAAAAGAAATTTGTGTCATCATGCAAAACATATATAATATTATTTGAACATATTTCGCACTTAACACGCTCGTCTGCGTCAGTTGATGCAGATTGAAGCATACTACTAACATACTCACTAAGAACTGGATGGTGATTATTAATCTAAATTTTTTATTTGCCATTAATGCAAATCTAGAATCAACCGGACGTAAATTTCAAATATTTTTTATAATTATTTATATTTTGAGAAATTATTATCTATAACAAAGTGATGATAAAGAACTAACTCAAAAATGCATGTGTGATGTGCGATGCATTTCCGAAGAATGTGTGGTTTATCGATGATTTTTTTCAAACGACATTCCAATATTTCCAGCTGAGAGCAAATGTGCATCAGTAATCCGCAAATTAAGCTGTCACAAGCAAGGTGAAGAATCGATCCTGCGGTTAAACTTATCGATTGATGAATATAAGCGATCCGAAATAACATTGGCGAAGAATAGTTGAACGGTAACCACGCTCGGAAAGCTAGATTGTGTTTTCTGTAGTCCTTAAACACAGATGTTCCTAATGCAAACGCACATGTTAGTTCGACTAGAGTTGCGTAGCAAAACGTGTTTACTCTGTAAAATACATATTTTCGGATTTCCCTCCTTACTTTCTTTATTAATGTTAATTTACTATTGAATCATAACATTTCGATTTAACGTTATATAAAATTAATCTTTCAATAAATTAATTGATAAAAACATAGTATATGTCTTACTTAATGTCTTATTATATAACATATATTATGCAACATTTTACATCATCGTTATTTTTTTTTTACAATATTTGTAATATATAATAACGAAGAGATTTAATTCTTTACACTATGTATTGTAATATTTTTACAACATGTATAATATATTACACAATAATTAATAATTATATTATTTATACATATAAAATTTTATTATAATTAATTAATTATTATTTTAAGATACTTACTGCACGATCTTGTCAAATTTCTGTCGAATTTCTATTTCATCATGTTCAGTAGGCCTACATGGTTTTTTCATCAGAGTATCAATCAGCATCCCAATATTGTTTCGATTTGTCAATAAACTGATCATCTTACAGCATGATACAAACATGGCAAGCATCACATAGAAATTCTCGGAGAAGTCGTCAGCATTGTCCACAATCAGAATTAAATCCATCAGTTGCGATAATGTAAATGTATTTATTAACAAAACTATGAAAATCGTGTATACATCATACATGATACGTTTGTACCGCGACGTCCATGAATACGGTGGCCAACATCCACAAATGGTAAGAATTTTTAAAGTAAACGTCAAAATGGTCATTTCTTTTTTATTTGTCATATTTGATAAAGATACAATAATACAATTTTATTATACGATTAATACAGAACGTTCTTGTATTATTCAAATCATAGACCTTCTTTATTTCTTTTTCGATTACGTTCAATATTGTAGAAAAAATATTATGTTTCTATAATGTTCATTCTGATTTACAAATACATAATTCTTAGTTAACAAATTATATACATATATTAAATAATTATGGATAATTATACTTAATTAAATTTTCATTACAAAGGAATTAATTATAAAATGAAAGATAGATTTTAATTTAGTACTAACTTTGGATTATCACACACAGTACTTAAGAAGTACACATATGTATGTAATATGTATATATTAAGCACTACAATAATACAACAAATATATTCTTTGCAACAAGACAAAATAAGAAGATTTTACTGATAATCACAAAAGAGTCTATAGCTTCACAATTCAATTTTTTATCTGCAACTTCCGTCTATGCATTCAACGACTATATCATTATTGTGGTACAAAACTTGCAATTTTGTGTCCCCACGCAGAACCATATCTTCGCATACGCAACGATTTTAAAATGCATGTCTTATACCTACATGATGTCGTGTACTGCCACATTTATGCCGAACTGTGACTTATAATCCAACGTTATGCCGTAGTACAATGTTAGCAAACCATCAATTTACTTACATGAAATCTTGATGAAAACATAGCTGAAATCATATTTAATTTATTTTTGCCACAAAGTGCAGCCGAACGTTTCATCCTGATATTCTTGATTGAATCGATTGTTTTCCTTAAAACAAAAGAAGAATGTAGTTGCCGAATTTAAATAAAATCATTGCAATACATTTTATTTTAAGAAAATGCATGTTTAAAGATTAGGAAAAATGTGTATATAACAACAATAATAATCACAGTAAATTAATATTAAATTAATACATATACGTCGCTTTAAATTATTTAAAAGAAGTTGTATACTTAAAATTAAAATTGTGTGTATTAAAGTGCAGTGAAATTTATCAAAACAAAATTGGCAAATATATTAAGGTATAGTATATAGAACATATATACATATATATATAAATTTTGTTATTTTTAGTAATAGTAATTAATAGATATTAATATCGTGTACAAAAAATTACTACTAATAATTATAAAATAAAAATTTAAAAATATTATAAATATATAGATGTATAGACCATATTGATTTGATTCAATTATTAATAAGTTTATAATAATCTCAAATTTATAAAATGTTAATTAAAATTTAATCTCAAATATTGTTGTAATATTTGCAATTGTATTATATATATATATATATATTATATATATATATATATAATAAAAAAGAATTGATAATGCAAGTTATTGATCGCTTAAGATTAAATAACGTTTGTGTTGCCGCGATTATTGATTTGAAAGGTAAAATAAAAGAATATATATAAAGAGAGAAACCTGGAATCATGGACATATTGCATAAAATAGAACCCGTTTACTAGCGCCTCTATGTGCATAAGCGTGCACGATAAACTATGTAGCCACGAATATGTTCGGTGGATAACACACATCTACAGTCTTCGATCGATTTTATCCCATTACATATTTATTTTGTTCAGTATTCAAAACATAATTTTGTAATAATGCATATATAAAAGGAAAAATACAACTGAGAAAATGGATAATTCTAAATTTATAAGTATATATATATATATTTAGTATTTATTGGCACTTATTATTATAGATTCCAACATTTTGTGGATTTACCGACTGAGAATAATTCCATTGATAATAAAGATTCAAAAAATTTTATTTAAAAAAGGCATTGAAAAATATTGTTTAAAAACATTAATGTAGACAAATTGTTCTTGTATCTCTTAAATTATTTATTAAATTATAAATATATTGTAACAAATTTTAATTATACAAAATTATAAAATATTATTTTGATAAATGTTACAATTTTTACAAATCTAAAATTTTACAAACGTAATAGTCAAAATAAAATATTTATATTTCTATATTTACATTTGTTATTTTTTAATAAGTTACATTTATTTAATAATTATCGTCAATCGTTAATCAATGTACAAATGTACATTGTATGAAAATGTTTCTTATAAAATCTGTCAGATGGCTCTGCTGTCTATAAAATACTTCAATTCAAGCTTCTCTATTTATAATACATAAATGCATGTACTGTTATTGCAGTTGTTATTAGTTCTTATAATCAATCAAAATTTTGATAAAATTTGATTCGTTTTTTAAAAATATTTTTTTAACGTTTTATTCTTATTTAAAATCAACATTTTCTTTTAATTATTAATAACAAAATCACATATGAAAAATTTATTTCCATTTATTACAAAATTATTAGCCAAAAATATGTCAATTTCTGTTAATTGTTTATAAATTAATAATCAATTTGTAGTTATATTTTTCAAAATTAGTATTTTATATTAAACCAAGTATGCTTTTAAAAATTCTGATTTTTATGATAGATAATTCAAATTAAGAAATTCTATTTTTATAATTTTATATACTCATGTATATCTATATACATGTACATTTAGTATAAGAAACATTTTACATATCGAAAAATATACAGCATCTAAAAATATAAATATTATAGAAGTTTATATATTTCCTAAATTCTCAGATGTAAATTGTAAATTGTATAAATCGAGATTTGTTATCGATCACATATGCGTCTAATATTTCACATCTGCACAGGATAGACTATGGTCGTGTGAAATTCCAACGAGAGGGTGAAGATGAAGCGAAACCCAAAGGCGAAGAAGGATAAATCTGATCGTACCAAAAGGGTCGGGGTTGTCAGCGTTACGATATAGGGTCTGTTCTTATCTACAAAATACAGGCTATGCCACCCCGCTCTCTCCTAGTATTCTAGGTCCCACGTACATATTGTCCAAAGTCCAGAAGAGGAAAATGAACAGGACACGCCATGATGAATCGGCCATATTGCTCTGGACCATTCTCGAAAGAGGGTAATCTTGCTTGTGAACTGTTTATTTTCATGCTTAGTCACATATCTTTTCGTGTTTAGTGAATAAGAGGCTACGATAAATGTAAATTTTTAAGTATGACGAAATATTGTAAAAATATCTTTTTTAATTTTATAGTAAAATATTACAAAATTTGAAAAACAATCAAAGCTTTTCAAGTGATTTTTATAGATTTGTCTTTTCCTTTTATTTCTTTAGAAATTAATTTTTATGTGCAAGAAGTATTTTCTAAAGAAAAAAGTATGTTAAATAAAATAGATTATCAACTTGTAAGTATAAAAATTATGATTTGAAAAGGATTGATTATAAATACTCTTTATTATAAATTTCAATATATCTTTTTTAATACAGAATTTTACGAAAATTAAGAGTAACAAAGAAAAAGGCAGAAAGAGGAAAAATATAATTTACAAAATTTATGTATGTACGCTTAATTATAATATTAATAATATTATTACCCCCATAATTCAAGCGTGGGAAAATGACAAATCACCTTATCAGTAGCAACGTGACAACTCTGCATGGTAACCGATTCTGAACATATGTATCCTTTATATTTTCAAGTCATGCTTCAGAGCATCAGTTATGAACACAACCAACAGATTCTATAATATATTCATTCGAACTATGCGTTATATATAGAGTGGTCCAAAAGTAATTTTTATTTTATTATTATAAGTTAATCGTATTTTCTCCAAAACACTCTTTTAAATTTGCAATTCAAATCATAAGAGATTCGGTTGTCTTATTCGTAAATGCAATTATAAAAGTGTATCACTATTTGTAAGTAAAACGGACTTCCTCATCACTTCCTTTTGTCGTTAAACGTATTATATTAATATTTAATAGCTCATGCACGGAATAACAAAACTCCAATTTTTATCGCAATTCTGGATCAAACTCGTTCCCGCATTCTTCTTGGGTCGGTCACCGGGTACAATTAACGAATCCTAACGTCTAACCGGCTTCTGTTGTTCTTAGTGTGAACTTTACAAGACTTATATAATGCATGCGTAAGAAGAATGGACCACCCATGTAGAGAGGTCTCTCTCGACTCAGCCTCGAGTGCACTTCGGGATTGCGCGCGCGGACGAAGCACTCCATCAGAAGAAGTAGTCGGCCGGACAGCATACCGGGTAGAAAATGACACCAGTCTCGAGATGCACGTTTCATATCAGTCAAATCGAACTCTCGAACCGTATTTTCTCTTTTCGCGAAATTAGAAAACGACCGTACCATAATTTTATGTGTGTATAAAGGAAGATAATTAATTTTAATCTACTCTACTACTTAGTAAAGATTTTATTTATAATTATTTGACAATAAGCATGTGCGATAAAATTATTTGAGAACAAATGAACTCTTTAAAGAGAAAATTAATATTTATGTACATATAATAATGAGACAAAGTGTTTATATAAATTATAAACAATTTTCTTGTCTGTGCCTCTTATTATTAAATTACGTTTATTTATTTTTTCTGTTTATACACACATTAATAAGTTTACCACAATACTTAGACATTTTTTAAATTAATATTTCAAAGACTTTCAACATTGAAATAGATATATTCAAATAGAATTTCCTTCTGTTTGGGATCTAGTATCTATGAGATCAGTATCATCATAGATAATAATGATAATATATTATGAAATCTTCTATATATTTATCTACATCGACAAGCATACTACAATATTCTACTTAAGTATAACTCTGCATAAAAAATTTTACATACAAAAATGATGTTTTGATCAAAAAAACAAAAACACTTCCTAAAATCTCATTTGCGAAATGTCTAAAAAATCCCGCTATTTTCTATACATGATTTTCGAAACACGTTGTATAATGCCATATAGAAAGCACACCTGAATAAAACGAGCCGCGTTGCTGTTCTCTCGAGAGACCAGCAGAGGTCGAAGATTTCAGGTCACTACGTCTCGAGAGCATAATGCATCGTAGCGAGGGAAAGAGTTGTGTAAACGAACTTTCATGAAC